CTCATAACCGCGGTGCGGACGACGCGGACAGCTTAAGCTGAGCGCCCTCGGGCTTAGTGAGATTTTCTTTGAGCAAACATCACTGCACGAAGCCGACGTCGCCCCGTCCTCGCATCCATTAGCGTAAAATTTTATTGTTGTCATACTCATAAAACGGGTAATTATTCTTGCAGTTAAATAATGAACATTCGCAATGTCACGATGGAGACAAACCGCGTGTACAGCAAACAACAAGTTAGTTAAACACTTGCTTTCATAAAAAATGCGAAATAGTGTAACTTATTCTCAACTACAACCGACAGCCGTTCGTTCCCCCTTAAGCATTCGAAACGTTGATTCGTTAAAGATAACCTGACTAATATTTTTTGCGTTTCAAGTGTTTGTCAGTACAATACAATAGATAGTCTCGTAACAGCGTTTTAAAAGCAGATAAATGCCACGCCGCAATCGCCAAAGCCTAAAAAGCGGGCTTGTCGCGGATAAAAACGCGACGTTGAGACATTAAAATGAATCCACGAAAACTTTAGCAAGCCGTTACGCTCCCCGTTACACTAAAATTTCTCCGCGAGCGGCCAAGCGTGTCGGCGCAATCGGGCGCGGCTGAACGATTCCGATTCGATTGCAGCATTATTCTATTCGCTTCTTCCGCAAAGAAAAAGAAACCGTCTCGACTTCGAATCGCCACGTAAGAGGTGACAGGTCGGTGGCTACCAGGTTATGCGTACACAACCATGAGACATTATATAAAGCTTCATTTATTTGCACTAAATTAAAGGTGCTCCGTTTGTTTGACAGCGAAGCGTAGAGGACTTTGCCGTGCGCACAACACCATACTGATTACGGCTCCATATTTGATGAGCCACTCGGAGTCGGCTCGCCGGAGGGGCAGACTAATTTCAATAGCCTCTTGGTTATTTAATAGAGCGCCGTGCGTTACGCAGAGTGAAACAAAAGAGAAAACCGCAGTAATTAGCTCTAGGACACAATGGCCGTGAGCGTCTTCGCAGTTCGCAAAGTGCGCATTCTTGTTTTGCTATCTCAAAGTGCACGAATGCAACGCTAGAGAAAAATGTGAAAATGCTCCAGAGAAAGTGTTTCATATGTGTGCAAGCGGCGGGAGGGCGTGAGGCGCAAGACGGGCCGAGCACAGTTTAATTTCCCACGAGGTCGATCTCGGCGCCGAGCGCGCAGCCCGCGGGAATTAATTGCCAGTAATGAATAGTCAAGTGAACATCCGTTAATTATGTACAGATGTACTCGAATTAAGAAAGCACACGAGGCTTTTCGGCCCGAGGAAGGTCCTCGCTTCAATAAATAATCTTAATGTTATTACTCCAGTCATATCATCTTTTATACAATTTTCAAGTAAAATGTTAAGGAATAGAATTTATTGCTCTAAATAAATAAAAGCAATGTAAATGTATGCTTTCCTTTCTTAAACAGCTTATCTGCTCCATCTACCCGTATCTGAACGCGGTAACGGTATAATAAGATTCACACGAATCGCAAATCAGAGTAACTCCTAAGTTACAACATGACATTGTCGTTCGTTCATTCACCTCTTGTAACATGCACCACTTGCTCTTACCGACTCCGCATAAAAAGGAAACAATCGCATTCAAGAATAAATAATAGTTTCCTACAACTGTAAAAGATATTTGCTCAATAATGATTTTACTGATTGATTTTATTTACTAACCACTGTGCTGCGTGTTTAAGTTAGTTAAGTTTAAAAAAGTTGCAGGGTTTAAGAGCTTAGGGCACGATAACGTGTTTTAATAACAGAAGACATTTAAATAAAACACTTTAACGGTTTGAAACGCGATATATTTTAGTTAAATTTGATTTAGATTTAGTTAACTAACAATAAGTTTAACTACAATATATCGCGTTTCAAACCGTTAAAGTGTTTTATTTAAATGTGTACCACTCGCGTAAACTACAGACAGTCTTTCACAGAAGACATTGTTTCAATATACAGACAGAAAAGCGTGGGGTTCACTTCAAGGGAGGTGAAAAACCCCAGCCATATAACATCCAAATAAGATACGCTGTCGACCTTTTTTTTGTCTTGGGATATTAGGAAATCCACAGACTGAAAGCGAAACGCGATTACGCTTCGAGGCGTTTTCATCTGTGTATTCTTACCACCCGTTTATTGAATACCGTAAATTGAAAAAAATTGCAAACATGTTGGACTCGGTGTGAATGTAACCCGTTGATTATTAGCAATACATTTCTACCATGAGACCAACGGGGCCTTCCTTTTTTTTATTTCAATCTTAGTATATACCCCATAAAATATGTAAACTAGCGCTAGCGACTATGTTGGCTTTGGACATTCCGAAATACAAATCATTTTTGGTTCACAAGCTGATAATTTCGGGATTACAGACGAAGTCTAACATTTTCGATCAACTACAAATTGACTAAGTAACCACCGGCCGTTGCTTATTAGCCATACATCGCAGCCATTAGGCGAGCGAGCCCGTCAAATTGCGCCAAACGAATTCAGTGAGCATAAAAGCGTCTCCACAGCTTCGTCGGCAGTTCGCAGGCAAGGCAAGGGTTCGATAAGCCTTTATGGACTCAGCGCAGCGCCGAGCGCCTCGATCTGGGAAGATCGTATCGCGTATTTGCGCGGCTACAATCGGTAATGGTGTGTGCAGTTAGGGCGTACGCTTATTGCTTCCTAGTCGGCGCGTCGTGAGAACAGTACCGGAGATAGTCACTCGTTAGAGCACGCGTCGCTTCCACATAACACTAACGGTACACTACCTACATACATGAATAAATGTTCGGCGAAAAGTGGGTAGTGGCGCCTCGGCGAGCTTGATTACGCGTTACGTAAATGCAGCGCAGCTTCTAGTTTGCAGCTGGTTAATTATTATTTAGGTTGCCGCACGTAACCGCGTCGTGTAAATTGTATAAGGGTAATAGATATTATGCGTGGAAGGTTCTTTTTTTTATGACTTTTTATTTGTTTTGACGGGCTAATAATCGATTGGTCGCGGGTTCGATCCCTCCGGGTCCGACATTTTTGCAATCAATTTATATTTTTTCGTGGAAATCTGAATATTAAATGGGTGGTAGAAATATCGAAATTCCATCCGGGTCACGAACCGTCGTCTACGGATTAAAAAGCCGCGAAGTTCAATCACATTTCGATTTCAGTCTATGGATTTCCGACTATCCAAAGTCAAAATAGGACGACAGCGCATCTTGTTTAGATGATAGAATGACGTATTTCACCTAACATAAAGTGAACCCCAAGGTTGTGTCTTTCTCTATCATTAATAATAGAATTTGAGCTAGAATAATCGGTAGTTGACACTTTTAAGCACAAAAAGTTTCAACGCAAAATATTCCTTTCATCAACAGTGAGAGTTCACCATTTATTTAATTAGGTCGATCACACAGACCTGTAAAAATTTACAACGCATACATTAAAAACAAGTTATATTCGAAGGACTCCGAAGGACAAGAGGACAATTCGAGATAAAATCGTATTGTCAGTATCCTCGCCGTTTATAGAATGTCTATATAATTATAATTATGCAAAATCAAGTACTGCATACTTTTATTTATTTATTCTTACTATAATAAAATAATATCAAAGATTATCGCAGCGATGTCCAATGATAGCAATATATAGCTAATAATCAACGTGTCGTAGGTTGGATCCCCAACGGGTACAGCATGTTACTAATTAAAATAAAACACTTTAACGGTTTAAAACGCGATATATTAGTTAGACTTATTTGAAAATGATTTTTAACTTCGGCCCGACGTTTCGGATGCTTTGCAGCAGCCGTGGTCACGGGGAGACACGTCACACGTTTAAAAAAACACTGTTTTTTTCTGTTTTTTTTATTCCTTTGATTTTCGAATATTCAAATCCAAAATAGGGCGACAACGCATCTAGTCTCGTTATGTGGCTATCTATATCTTTTTACAGCAAGTGAACTTTATGCTTGTGTCCTTTTCTATCATAAAAAGAGTTTTTTATTATTATGTTAGGCTTTATATAAGATTTAATTATTTACAAAAATAGTCAAGGCTGAAAACATGAAAGCTTGTTTAACGTATTAAATTCTTATGTAAGTTAAGAAAACGATATTAACATAACTGGGAAGTTGTATGTGTAAAAAACTTGAAGGATATTGTTGTATCTGCGGCAACAAAACAGTCAAACTTCACTTTACTGAAGTTAACATAAAAATGTAATTTTCAAACATAGACCATAAAACAAAGGTGTATATAAAAAATTACATTGTATATATATAATAAATGACTGTAAAGTAGCACTACGTATTTATATAGAAAATTCGAGATAACCGTCCTTAAAATTATATAACTTAAAGATTTCCTCGGCTAACTATTCAATAACAATTTAAAATAATAAAAAGCATATAATGTGCATTTTTTGAGAACCCAACATACAAATAAGTATGCAACGACAAACATGATGAAATCAATTGCGGCGAAGTAGATGGCGCCATTGTAGCAGATTTGAATTTAACAGTCCCTGCGGTAACTATGCACTCAAAATGTCGGATAGTGGTTAAAATAAGCTATCTAAAATATTTCGCGTTTAAAACCGGCAAAAGTGTGTTTAAATTTTTAAAGTATTCTTATATATTTTACTATTTACGAGATGTCTGTAGTGATTATAAACATAGGTCTGGAAAGCTTAAAAAAAGTGTTAACCATTGTCAACAATTTCGTTATCAAGAAAATGGACAGGGACATCAGACTCTAATTTTTGAATAATGCCTCTATTATTACTGGAGCTCTGAAGTCTTTTGTACACAACAGGAGATGTATTCCCTGGCCTATTGATTGAATTTTCCATATTAGCACAAAAATAAGTAAAGCTCCACCTTTAATCGCTCTATTGAAACTAATGCTTATTCTTGCAGATATTGTGAAAAATGTTGTTCTGAAGTTAGTGTTTAAAATTGCTAAAATCATGTCACAGAATACCATACTGCCCCATATTATACCCCGAAGCATGTTACACATTTGATATCAGATCTCAGCGTACGCGCTAGAACATCTGAACGGAGTCTTAACACACAAGTACAAACCTGGACGTCAAAAGGCTGATGGTGCTGCGTGGTATCAGGCGCGGGCGCAGGACCCACTGAGGCTCCGTTGACGAGAGCACCACCACCGACGCCGTTGCCGCCGCCTCCCACTCCACCGCCGACTCCACCGACACCAACGCCTCCGGCATACTAATAAAAGGCAATACCATTATAAAATATAGCACAAATGGACGGAAATAGCAAGGGACAGGCAAGCATGGAAACTTTTACAAGCCATCGTCGAAGGACAAGCTGTTTGTAAAACATAAACGTTAAGTAACAACGTATTATAGAAGTTAAACTTATAGTGATAAGATAAAAAAACATTTTTTTAAAATTGTATTTATTTTAACATAATAAAAAGAAAAAAAAAACTTTAAATGTCATCATTGAAAACGCCTAAACGCCCCTTCGAATAGATAGTGCCTACTTTGCCATATTAAATTGTACAGTAAGTGATGTAGCTTATCAATTAAAAATCTTTTTAGTTTTCCTAAGAACACGGTAGCTCAATTGGTTTGAGCAGCAGCACGGAACGCTGTGGATGGCGGGCCAAGTGCCGTTCGTGTCGTTATATTTTTTGAACCTCATTAGATTTTTAATGTTTTTATTGCTATCGTGTGAAGTCTATAATTTTTATTCATCATTAGTAATAATAATTCTAATTTATCTTAGATAATTGAAAAAGTAGTTTAAAAAAGACAGAGTTTAGAGAAAAAATGTAGAATTGTCTAGACGAGATGTGCTGTCGACTTAATTTGGCTTTTGGTGTCTTAATCTTTAACACCTTTTCTACATATGGATGATTTTTATATGACATCTCATAGTCATGACTCAGGCATGGAGACTAAAGGTAGATAAATCAATGCTATTTGACAACAAACATATCAAAAGATGTAGTTAGTTTTAGAACTTACTTAAATTTAGTTAAATATTATCGTTCACTTCAACTTGTTTCAAGATAACATTTGAATTTAAAATAATTTTTTACCAAAAATGATTCAATAATTCGAGCTATGATTAAATCATTAAAAAAGTAACGGCCTAGCAAAGACGTCAGACGATGTAGTTATTATCAGAATTGTTTTATTTTTTTCTCCAAAATATTCACACTCCTCGTTAGTCTCGTTGACATTGAGCGCAAGCGAGGTCTTGAGTTCGACTTCCGGGGAAACACTAGAATTTTTCTATCGGGCAGGGCACTTAAGTGTGATCAATCTGTAACTAAGTTATTAGTGAAATAGGCACATTATGCGTTCGACGAGAAATAACTGTGTAGTTAGTTAGAGTTAGGTAGTGTAGTTAGAGAGAGTATTTGCTCTGGCAAATTCTATTAACCTTCAAATAAAACACATACGGTTTATAACGCGAAATATATAAGATAAACTTATTTTAACTACGGCCGACGTTTCGGATGCAACTTAACTAATAAATTTCACGTTTTAAACCATTAAAGAGTTTCATTTAAATATGTACTACTCGCGTAAACCACAGACAGTGTTTACCTGTTGTGAATTAGCGAAGCTGTTGTTGTCGAACTGCGGGTGCTGTTCCATTTGCAGTACAAGCTCGATGTGTTGATTCATGGAGTCGTTCAAGGTCATGCCTAAAATAATTAAAATTACACATAAACACTTTGATATGATGTTGTAGCTAGCATGATAACTTTCCATCCTACTAAGAATATTAATTCATACATCAGCCTGCTATCAGTGCTCCAATAGAAAAAAATAATATTATTTAAGTGAAAAAGAATGTGGACGCGAATATTCTTTAATCATTTTCTAGAAAACACTGCACCCTTTGCTTGATTTCCATAGTAAGTAGGTTGAAATTATATCGTGGGTAAAATAACATTCATAATTTCATGTCTCCAGATATATCTAGGAAATTATTATTGTTGTTAATAGGCTCAGCACTTCTCGAGCTGGCCTTTATGGCATCAGAGTGACAAAAACCTGGGAACATTGCACAGACTTCTGAACCTATGGTGAGGTGAATCCATGATATAGCTTGGATCCTTTGTCTCATAAAGTAGAAGACAATTACTTCTAAACATTTGAACGGTGTTAACACAGTCTAAAACAAAGGCTGAAGGTGCTTATATTATAAACATTATTTATCCCGACTTTTAAATAGTCTACAGTGTTATTGGATTGAAGTCCAAATTGAATATTCTGATACACACCTGGATGTATTTGTGGGTGCTGTGGATGCGGCAGACCCTGCAATGGAGCCACTCCCAACATTCCTGGGTGATGCTGAAAGTTATATGACAAAATTAATATGTAGGTTATTTTATATAATATGCGATAGAAAATTTGTCTCTACTTTTGATCAAAAACGACTGAGAGAGACCAGGACCCACTCCTGGGAATATAGAAAGAGTGAAATAGAAGAAAACGTTAAAATAACCTAATGAAGGTTAAGGTTAATAATTTTGAATAAGATTCAGTTCTTTTGGAGGTCATCTGGAAGAACCACATGGATCCTTTTAATTATTACCCCATAGATAAGGTTTGGCTTTGGTCTGGGTCAACCATTGGCGATGTCAACAAAATAGTAATTTAAATCTATACTAATATATAAAGCTGAAGAGTTTGTTTGTTTGAACGCGCAAATCTCACGAAGTACGGGTTCGAATTAAAAAAATCTTAGTCCTGACACCAACTGTTAGTCAGTGTCTCGACTGTCGTACTTCATTCTTTTTTAATTTTAATTACACAGATAGATTTTATTTATTTATTTATATATATAGTTTCTGCCCTTACCTGCGGGTGCTGCAAGTGCGGAAGATGGTGCAGCGGCTGAGGTTGATGCGCGGGAAGCGCGTGCGGGGGCAAAAGTGGAAAAGCGGCGGCCTCGCCGTTGCGTACGCCCACACCCACGCCGCCCTGGTTGACGCCCACGCCCATACCACCCTCTTCTTCAGCTGGAGACGGCTGTCGCGAGCCCGGCGTGCGGCTGTATCATTTACAATTTTTATAAGTAACTTGGTAAAAATGACTGCTTCTGGGGCGCAATGGTTAAACGCGTTGCCTAGTTATGTATTAGGGGAAAGGGCTCCCGGGTTCTAATCTTGGTATAACTAACACAGTCGGGACAGAGCATGAAACTCTCAATTAACTATTATACTTGCCATAAAATAAAATCTATCAGTGAAACTGATGCAAAAATATGTCTGCCCCATGCCCCAAAATGGTGTTCTTTTTATAATGACCTAATCAAAACATGCAGAGATAAAATGTAAATATAAGCTTATAACTGCACGTTATCATTTGAAGAAATGGACATCTCCCTATCTAAGGAAATATGGCCACTGCGTGAATCATATCTCTACGAGAAGTTGCGTGGACGCAGTTGGCAAAAAACGAAGGCGGAGTGGGGCGTTTGGCATTGACAGAGGCCATGATCGAGCGCGCGCGGTTATTGCCCGCTAGCTGCGAGCCGCGGCACGACCGGCCCCGGCTCCGAGAGAACTAAGCGGCGACCTTCGTATTCGGCCCATCAGACGCTTATGTGACGTAGCCTCCCAATTATACGTTCGGTCACTTTACACATAATACTTGATGACATTTACAATATTTCTGTTTTAACGGTTTCTCAATAATAGTTTGAATTCAATTAATTTCATTATTAAAAAGGAGAATAGGAAAATAACATACACTGATAATAATGTAAAAAACTAGTAAAAGCAATTGTTATGTAACGACGGGCTCGTTGGTCTGGTATGGCTAAGAATAATCAACGGGCAGGTAGGTCGAACACGTATCCAAGCGATTAGTAAATTTTCTGAACCTAGTGTCCAAATCTTCGTGTTAAAATCTGGCTATTAAATGGCTGGTAGGAATATCGAAATTCCGTCCGTAGATAACAAAACCCTGAAGTTTGATCGCGTTTCGACTTCAGTCTGTGACGAGAGGTTGATAGCGCATCCTGTTCACGTTATATAGCTTGAGTATTTCACCTTTCACGAAGAGAACTTATTGCTACTTTGCCCTCCTCTATCATAAAAAAAACAACTTACTTAAAAGCTTTGTCGTCTTCTTGTCCGTTGTGAAGCCCGTTTGGCAGAGACCCGTGTTCGTGAAGTTCGTGCAGATCTTTTTCGAAGGGGGGAGCCTGACTTTTCTTCGTTACGGTCCTCCAATACCATTCCCCTCAGGCCCGCCACCACACCGCCGACTTTTTCGTTGCCTCCGCCTGAAGCGATCCCACCAGCTTCTATTTAAAGTTAATTGTAGAATTGATCTCTTCATCATAATACTGAACAACATTGACTACCATAAATAATAATTTATATTCAAGAAGGCATTGATTATTAGAACTTTACCTGTGGGAGATCCGCCCAACACATACTCCACCATCTTGACTCCAAGACCGGCTGTGTCTCGCGGAGACAGAATGTTGCCCGCGTCTCCACCAGGGAAGGCTACACCACGGCGTGTTCCCATCATCGGCACACCCACATTGTGTTCCACTACAAACATAAGTTTTAATATTAACAAGCTTGCATTTTTATAGTCAAATTTATGACAAGATATTATGTATGTATGTATAAATAGGCAAGAACATTAAATGTTACGTATAAAGATATTATAATTACCCTGCGCAGACCAAGTAGAATCGCGCCACATTTGTTCAGGATTTAATTGCAAAGGTGGTAACTGTGGAGGGCCTTTGCTGTCCCCTCCCGCGCCGGGACCTTTATCCCATAACTTTTTTGCGGAGGGAGCGATCTACGAAGTAAAGAAATATCAATAATTTAAGAGGTATTCTATAATACAATCGTATTAACACTACATTTAACATTGTTAATTTTGCAAGCCACATTGAACAAAAAAAAATGGTGGTTGCTTTTCTCTCATGAACATAAATTTAAACAGATGGAATGGTACAAAAATATAATAAGTTAAGGTTTGTTTTGTGTTAACATATTACGAGTGCGCTCTTTACACTAAATACCTAAAAATTGTAAATGGCTTATCTATAAGTTATAATGTATTTTTATTATTATAAGTTGAACCTAATCTAGGAACTCTTATTATTTAATGAAATTATGGACCAGAATTGAAATTGTAGACATTTATGTAATTAAAAGAAGAGCTACTTAAAATAATGTTTATATTTATCCTATATATTTTTTACTTTTTGTCGGTGGACTGACATGCATAAGAGGTTTACTTGATAGAAGTCTCCTCATTTGGTTTTGGACATACAAAAACTCAAGAGGAATATCCCATGTTTGGCTTCTGTCATGGAACAATTTACATAAGTCATGACACGTTGAAGAATAATTTATAACAGCTTAAGTTTCAATTTGTTGTCATAATTACATCTCGAAAGTGAAAAAATAAGACTCCAATAAGATTCTGACCTACATTGGTTGGGTTAGTAAACAACTCTACAAACAATTGTGCAGTATAACATTGAATAAAACTTTATTTTTTAAATATTTAGGGTAGATTTTAATGTATTTTATAAATTATGATTAAAAAGTAACTTTATATATGCAATTCAACTGGAATACAACATGTACACCAGTCCTTTATATGATATATACATATTTATCATTCATATTGTATTATGTGTTTGTTCATTCAAGGAAAAATAAATCATAAACTGTCAATTTACGTGTGTTTTGTTTAAAGAATTTTAATTACTCTATCATAATAGGACAGTATTGAAATGGAATCTTTAATTTTAATAACTTAACTTTATAAGGTGTAGTCAGTGGCAAATAATTATACAAAATATTTGTTCAAATGTTAGATAATTTGATCTTGGGTGTTTATGCTATTTTATTTAGAGTGTAAAGAAATAATTATCGTCAGATCATAAAATTACCCCTATAGTGGATACATTCAATCATTTGATTGATTTGGTATATTCATTTCGTATTATATGATGATACTCTGCCCTAGGTAAGGTCTTTTTAAATCAACCCCATTACTTAAGCAACAAAAAGCAGCATGCATTAAATTTAAAGATTAACTATTGTACCAAATAATATAATCCAAAGAGGCATGCACCATTTTTATTTTAACATTGCACATTAACATGCCACAATTTTTTTATAATTTTTAAATTACCAATATTTCAATTTTTTCCCAAAAGCTTGAGATAATGCTAACAAATATGACATGGACAAGTATTTGATCAGGCTTCTGTACTTTCTTTCGCCCAAAACTATTGTTTCCCCGGAGTTGAAACCCTAGACCTTGTGTTTAACCCAAGGCTTAGCAACATGTCTGACCATCGGTCTAGAAAAGCTATGAATAATTTCTTGCACCTTTAATTAGAAATATCCAAAGTCTTTTAAAATCGTAATTTATCAAATATATTTAAGTTTTACAATCATTTTTATGAAAAAGAGTTAAATTGATTCAAAAACACTGCATTTTAATCTATGATATTATCATATTGAGTCTACATACAGCTCATCTGGTAACTTACTATTTGTGTTATATTATATACAACACCCTAATTTGCTTTTTAATAATTACTTAATTGCCTAAGTATATATTAAGGAGTATACTCCTGCATAATATATTATGCAAATAGTAAACATCAACAAAGGTAATGTTTTTTGTCTAATATTAAATCATAGAGGTATTATAATGATGAATCATATGTTGTTATTACGATCCCCTTAAAATAATTTCTTCTAGCTATTTAAAAGTTTAAACTATACAATAAAAGAAAAACAAATCGAATTTATACATATGACTATACAAGCCAAAGTGCTGCTATGAATAAACATAATACATTAAATACGTATTGAAACTGTAAAAGCTAAAACTTAACAAATTTGGGATATGATCTCGTTTAAAACAATATTATATTTTACAGAACACTGCTTAATTCAAAGCCGGTGAACATGACCGATCCAGAAATGGCGGACGCCGGTGACAAGTAAACAAAACAAAAACGAACCTGTTGCTGGGAAAAATAAGATTTTCTCGATTTCATGACTTAAAACACAGAGTTAATCCATATATCTATGTATTAAAACGTATAAACTTACCATGTCGGGACCCATATCCTTAACATTAGGTTCGAAAAAAAAGTCACTCAAAGGTTTCATGCGTACAATTCACCTAAAGCTCAATTATGTACCACAACGAAAGCTTATCCAAAATGAAACACTACACATCGACTTTTTCATCTACATAATATAAATACTTAATTAACATTGACACAACACAATTCTTACACTAATTTCTCTATAAGCTGCAAATACAATGTGCGAAAATCTAAACTTGAAAGCAATGTTGTCTTGTTTCGAACAAAGGACATACGCCGAGCGGCGAGCAAAGCGCCTGCGTACAGCGTAACTTCGCCGTCTCCCGTAGACGGGAGCGTCGGAAGACTAAAGTTTCGCAAAACTGGCGATAGATGGCACAGTGAGAAAAAGCTTTGTGCCGTCCACAGATAATATACTATTGATTTTTTTTTTAATAAATGTGAACGGGGTGTTTGGTGTTCATCACGATGGCTTTCAATTAATATAGTTCACTATGTTTTTGTATGAAAAAAGTCGAGTAATATAAACAATAGCCGCATGAAGAACGCGAGAGTGAACGTGAAATGAGTCAGTTATTTCTTGTCAATTGTCATTCAAATGCTTCGAAAACCCTAACATACAAAACAATATACAACTTGTATATTGTTTTGTATGTTAGGGTTAATGTTAAATGCCAATAACTAAGCCATTTTTTTTATTTCATACATGATAATAAATGTATTGTATGTTAGACTGCTTCTATTTTTTATCCACATCATACAATATATTTTATTTAAGTTGCTAATGTATTTCATGTCAAAAAGTAAATTGTTTTTTTAAGAATTGATCATAAATCAATATAATAGATTTGTTTATAGAATTAGAAAATTTGCTAATAATAATGTATTTTTAGCAATTTTTTTACCATAATTTGTATGATGTCACTACAAATTATGGTATGGGATTTATAACTTAATGTGGAATGGTTCAAAATTTTACCAAAATATTATTTTATATTAATTATAAAATCCATTGACTAATCTAAATAATTTTTAAGTTTTAAAGACAATAAAGTATATTTTATTTTATCTTTTATAATACTTATCGCGCAAGAGAATGTTTTTAATAATATTAAAACTTGAACAGATTCCATATCTTATACTTTATTTTTTTCTCTGCCTAGACAATCTGGCTTTACTAACAATTTTGTGTACAAGCCAATGGAATTTGACTCAAAATTAACTTTAAATTATTTTATATTCAGAAAAGTAAAAACATCTACAGATTTTGTTTGTTACCCTTAAATGGAAGATTCTTATTAAGACTTACCTGATTCCTAACAGCTGGTATAGGCGCAAGTCCCAGTTGATTTTGTCCCTGTTGCAGAAATTGGCTAGTCCCTGGGGCTAACATTCCTGCCTGACTTATGTACATCATGTGTTCTGCGCTTTTCCCTATTCCATTCATTGCTTGCATGGGATTGCCATGATGCTGATGAAGCTCATACATTCCTTGTTGTCCCAATTGTGGAGCATTTTGCATACCTTGCAGAGGAGGCAGCATCATCGCACTATTTTGAATTAAACTATTTCCCAGGGCATGGTTTTGCAAAGGTGCCATTTGAGTGTGAACCATGTTTGTTGTCAAATGGGGATGACTACCGATAACTGATGGGTTTATAGCTAAAGGACCCACTGATGATGCAATATTTTGGTTCATATACTGCTGAGGGTTAACTTGTGCATTCTTTAGGGGTACCATCTGGGCTTGCTGTTGCAAATTATTCATCGCCATTGGAACTGGGTGTTTCCATTTATCTTGATTCTGAAACAAAAGCACTTACATTGGCAAAAGAATTTTGTTCATACCTGAATTAACTAAAGCATAGGGAAAAAGTTAAAAGTTTTCCTAGGCATTACTTTTTAAGCAATAAGTTTCTTATCACAAAAAATCTTTATACTAAGTGTATAAATAACCTATACTTTATTCATAATATATCCTTCCTGTTCCTAAACTTACAAGTCACCGTTGCAATAAATGTCTACCAATTTTATAAATATATAAACAAGTTTTAGCTGAGTACACTCTTAAATTATTGAAGTAGTATATAAGAATACTATACTAATACTATTAATAATAAGAATGATATAATTTAAAAATTTACAAAACTTCCTTCAGAAGAAAAAGACTGTTTTGATCTTTATAAATAAGGAAAATGGGAATGAGATTTCATATTTTTAATAAAAGTATAAATAATTGTCTAAAACATAACAAGATGTTGTAACTAAACTTTGATTTCAAAGTTTTCAGTATTTCAGTACTAGAAACAAAATGATGTTTGTCTTTTATTCAAATTATAATTTCTACTATATACAAAACTTTGGTAAACAGCTCGTGAATAAAAAAAAAATATTTTATTTAAAACTAAACATAACCTCGGAAACAGAAACAAGTTACCAATCTTAAACAATTAAATTAACAGACAGTATTTATTCTTAAACAAAAGTTAATTTAGTATGTAATATTGTTCTGAAACAGTTTAACTGACAATAGAATTAACCAAAATTACAAAGAAATAGTTTGCCTTTCATAATATGTCTCATGTTATGTTTAAATATGAACATAGTTACCAACTAGAAATTTTAAAGGGACCACAAAAATCAAAACAAATAATATAGCATGAAATGTAAACAAACCTCTGCAATGTTATCATCGCCAACCCCCCAACGCTGTTTAGAAGCTAAGGATAACTCTCCTTCTTGGTTTTCACGCTGGAAAACATAATGTGCGGCACAGTCTTCTTGGCCGCGGTTTTGGGCCACACGCGCTGTTTGCAAACCTCCTTCTCCGGCCTCTTCTTCACCGCCTGTGCCTGGCCACTTCATTGGGCTATCGTGAGGCTCGAGCATTCAGTTTCACAACGCTTTAATACCACACAACCGTAAACAATAATCACAATCTTTGTATAACGAGGATACGGCTATCACTAATCGATCTATACTTTAATTAGTCGTTTTACATCATCAAAAACACTACTTGCAGCTAGCGTTACTCTAAAAACAAGCCATTCGAAGTCTGCATTAGTCTTTTTGTCTTTCTAATGACAGCTACTAGATTTATAGGAGCACGATGACAGCCGCTATGAGATACCAAAATATTGCAAGGATATGCAATTATGTACTTGGTTCATTAAATTTTAAAACGAAGGATTTGCGGAAACACGGGCGAACCACAGAATTAATATAAGCTATCACTTTTCAACGTTGTAAAGTAATATCCAATTTAATTCATACGAATTTACGATTTGTCGGCGTCGAGAACTGAATTGAATAAACACTCAAATTATACACTATTCACACAATTTTAAAACAAAACGACCACAAATATAATTACTATATGTACACAGGACTATTTACAATGTACAATTTTTACAGAAAACCCCGTTTATGCCATTGGCAACAGTCGATACTTTCCGATTTTTTAAGGACTTCAAACATACTTCACTGCTCGTCCGCCATAGTCGAGCAGATGCGATGCGCGCGCAACGCGCCAAACGATAACTGTATAAACATAAATAAATACAGCAACAAACGTTCCATTACAAGCAATATATTAAAGATTGTTTGAATAAAAGCTTTTATTTTATTACATATATAGTAGGTCTCAAAAACACTTTATTTTAATAATATTTTAAAATAGTGTCTTTTAATAATAATAACGTATATGATGCATCATTTATAATAAAGATTTTTTTTGAAATGCTATCATGATCACATTTTTATGGTTTTAAACCTTAAAAACATGATCATTATGTATTATAATTAACGCAATAGGTACTTAATACTTAAATGAATTTTATTCAATTTTAATATAGCAAGCCAGAAAAGAATTAATGTAAATCCATAAAATTTGCAAACACTTTATTTTATTTTTTGTAACATCATACAATTATATTAGGTGGTAATGAAACAAATATTTTCCTTGTGTACAAACTTTATTTAAATATTCTTATACATTTATATTGGTTTAATTTTAAAATGTAAACCAATCAGTGAGAATACTAAGCATTTAAGATCTTGAACTAAATAATAAAAACATCTCAATCCTTCGGGGTCTCGTGACTGATTAACATCTACCAAGGAGCCAGTCTTAGAAGTTGTAAATGATATATGTTCCTCTCCAATAACTATTTCTAGTTCCTGTAAAACAGTACAATATAAAGAATTAAAATTTGAATCACAATAAATTAATTATTAAGTATTTATAATTAATTGTGATAAGTCTTAATACATCAAAAAGAAAAAACAAAATCTAAGTTCTCAAACCATTATAATTTTATAAGTAAACAATATAAAATTAAAATTAAGCTGGTACCTGTCGTCCGACACGATCCGGCTGCGGCCATGCTCTGTCATCTTCGTGCATAATCTCTGAATCAACTATAATCCTCTTTAACTCTTCCATTACACAAGGATGAACATAAGCTTCCTTTCGAATCATAGTATCGTTTTTGTAGTTTGAATTGTTGGCATATCTAAGTTTACCATCAGGTCTAAACTCAAATTCAAGAAATTCGTGACCAAACTTGCCTTTATGGCCCACATAGTACCGAATGTAGAAATCAGTGGACATTTCAATAACCTAAACTATAACTGAAATGTTTTATTTTATCGGTATAACTACGTCAGTATTCAACACCGAGTTCAATTGTTAATTTATTTAGTGAATTTTAACAATAATCAAAATAAAATACACTCAAGAATGCTCGTTTACAAACCACAGACAACAGCAAGCAGATAATAAATATCGTCAATCGACTATCGAAACCACAGATTAGGTACTAATAGTAGGAAACACAAAATACTGAAAAAAATATAGCACAGACTGTGAGTGAAGTTAAGTACAACGGATGTTATAATATCAGATCAAACTAATGCAGTTTTTTAATTATATTCATATATACTTAAATACCACGCATTGATAAAATTAATATAATACAAATGAAAATATAAGCGTTCAAGAATTATCCAAGTATGTGATAAAGTTTACTGGTAGCACTGGTATTATAATAAGTATAATCTATGGACGTACTGAATTCTACTTTCTGATACTGTACTGACTTGTCAGATTTGACAGCCTTTAGAATTCTTGTGTTTGGAACTTTTGAAGTTTTGTCAAACCTTTTCTTTCCAACCCAGACAAGATGGGTGAGTAGCTTTACAAGTTTTAGAGATTTTTATCCGTTATTATCTTATACGTCTTTAGTTATTTTCCTTTACATTCTATATATTTCAGTTAATAATGTGTTTAGATAAAAGCGTTTATCAATATTTATTCTTAATGTCTCTCATAACTTTGTGTTTTTGTGATACGTTTTATAACTCAAAACATTACCGCAAAACCTAATTTTTTAAGGTATTAGCCGCGATCACTGGCATAAAAGAAGGGCTACGGGTGGCAAACGCGCCCCGATCCGTAAGAAGAGGAAGTATGAGTTAGGTCGACCGGCCGCAAATACCAAAGTAAGAACGTGTATTTATAACCTCTATAACAATCTCTCATCGTTAACCCTATGGACCTAAGTTTACTATTTGTTTACATATTTCAGCTTGGCCCCCAACGTATTCACTGGGTCCGATCTCGAGGTGGAAACACAAAATACCGTGCGTTACGTCTTGACACTGGAAACTTCGCTTGGGGATCGGAATGTAGGTTTACTTTAAATATTGATGATACAAATAAATGATTTTAAATTAATGTTCATTGTTACAAAAGAAAAATACATATATTATTTGCAAACATTCATTATATTGTCTTGCTCTCATTTGGAATATTTTTCATTCAAACTATTTCACAGTAACTTTCATTACAATTTATGATTACAGGTGCCACTCGCAAGACACGTATTATTGATGTTGTATACAATGCTTCTAACAATGAGTTGGTTCGAACAAAAACTCTGGTGAAGAATGCTATTGTGGTAGTTGATGCCACACCTTTCCGTCAGTGGTATGAATCGCACTACCTCCTGCCTCTTGGAAGGAAGAAGGGTGCAAAATTGGTAAGTCTTAGTTTATGTTTATTTTAGTATAAATTGCACTTAGGTCTCATTTTTTTATTTGTTATGTTTGGTAGAGTATATTGTCTTTAAAGAAATGTTTATTAGTAAATTACCATTGCAGAAATAGTTGTAAGTCTGTGACCTAAGGAAATATCTTGATAATTATGACTGTTTAACATTTACATATATAAATTTGCCAATATTTATTATAAAAATAAAGCCCTGTCATGTTTTTAAGTAACCCTTTCAAGCATCCAAATAATCAAAGCATACCTTTAATTTTTATAGTCATCATTATGATGAGTTTAAAAATGATATTGAAGTTTGGGGTGATGCCTGTTCTTAGTTTTGTTATTGACCATAGTATAAAAATATATTTGGCTAATGATGATCATACACTCACATGTCAGATGATTGTTGGTGATTTTTTAATAAATCCGACAATGTTAAGTTGACAGTGGCCAAATTAAGTAGTTAAATATATAACCAGTAAACAATCTGCTATTCCAGACTGAAGCAGAGGAAGCCATTATTAATAAGAAAAGAAGCAAAAAAACAGCAAAGAAGTACTTGTCGCGACAGCGCTTATCCAAGGTTGAAGGTGCTCTTGAGGAGCAATTCCATACTGGACGTTTATTAGGTAAGAAGCAACAACATGCGTTAGAGCTATGTAGTGTGTATGTTAGCATAGGTCATGTACAAATGGATCGCTATGTTGCATATGCCAAATATTGCAGAAGTCCTGGACACTTGTTAGTAAATATATATAGATATAATAGTAAAATGTCAAGTGTAAAAGGTTTTAACTGTAAACCCATATTCGTTTATACCAACTATCAATGATGATGAAAGAAAGAGTTCTCTGGTTTAAATTTCTGGTACCTCTCCATTGCAGCATTATTCTTATGTTAACTAGCTAACTACACTTATGATGAGATCGAGAAGTTGTGAGGCTGCATTAACAGACGGGTACCGTTTTGGGAACTGTCTAGCAGTTGTATGATATCTGTCATAGTTACTCTGAAAATATTAACTTTGTTCTCTCTTAATACTAAAGATTTGGAACACGTGCTAAAAATGTTTTTTTTATTACAGCGTGCGTGGCTAGCCGGCCTGGCCAATGCGGCCGCGCTGACGGCTACGTATTAGAGGGTAAGGAACTCGAGTTCTACCTAAGAAAGATCAAATCCAAGAGGGCTAAGTGAAAAGTGTAATAAATAACATAAAACGGTATAATTTCGTTTCATTTACCGACTTGTCCATTCGATACAGTGCGGCTCATGTCGTGCCTAGCTGTTTTATCATTTTCATTTGTTGTAATTTATTGTTTTAATTGCATAGGGATGGCTATAAATATTGATTGATAATAATATCTACAAATAGTTACGTACTTAGTTTGGAGTCGTTAGTTTCGTGTATTTAGATATATTTGGCTTGCAACGAATATTCCGTATTCGGCCGGATACCGAATAATTAAGCTGTAAGGACTCCACAGATGAGAAATAAATAGAAAAGTAAATATTGGTAACTATTATAATAGAAAATTAAATCATCAACATTTAGAAAGTATGATTTAATTTATTTTCTAATCATACATAAAAGATAATCATCTGTTAGAAAAGATTTCTATAAATTTGAATTTTATTTATTAACACAATATATAAGAGGAAGATTTTGGTGCAAAGAGACTACTCCATGGGTTAAAAGCGCTATGAATAAGCACTTACTTTCTGGTGGGGCGAGAAGGTAGCAACCAACTGGTGGTGGTGGCAACCATTTTTGGTATACTGGCAAATATACTATTTGTTGCAGCGTGGTGGATAATAAATTAATCATGACGTTATCGATGAAGTAATAGGATACTATGTACAACATTTTGTTTTATTTATCGTATTGTAAATTTAATGTTATAATAGAATAATTAAAACTAGTAACACATTTTATTTTTAGGGTATTTATCAGCCTAGCTGATAAGATCGTCTCATCTCGTATATAGAATCCGGATTTAGGAAAAAGCAACACAAATCCGATTATCTGGGAACAATTTAAATTGTGAGCGTAGCATGTGATACATAGATAGGCAAGAGAAATTGGGTTGAAATACAAGGTGGTAGTACAATTTATAATATCCTTGTATTGAGGGGATCTACCATCTTTCCGGCCATCAATGCGACGTGTATGCTGGAATCCACAACGAAGTACAGAAACGGGTACGTCGCTGAAAAAACTACGGGATTCCTCTTAGGTATATATTCTGAAACAAAAATATGGTTCATTTAGTCATCTAGGATGGTCAGGGCATCTGCCATTTACAAAAAAAAGACTAGAAGAGCAAAAATGCGACCTTGCCATGCAAATGCAGCGGACCGTTAAAATTTAAACCGAATAACGAAAGCATTCACAGGAAACAATCATTTCGTAATTGCAATGGTTCGTCTGATTAGTATAAAATTGATGTTTTTCAATGACATATCGAGGACTAATTAGTAATTGGTTACCATCTCTATTAGCCTTTGAATAATGGCGTTTGTGCAACGAATGATTTTCTAAATTAGTTTAAAAAGGGTCGTTATCTACGCAGACCTGCGCAGGCGCATATTCAATAGATTCAAATGTGCATGTCGCCGTGTTGCGAAATCGACGCTTATAAACAATAGACAACGAGTGTTTGGTATTTAAATGGCAATGTAAATTTCAGATCTCGTTATTATCTCGCGCCTAAACCAGAAAATAAGATGTTTAAACAAGGCAGTGAATCTTTGTAACAAAACTTACGATGTAGCAGTTTTCAGTCAGTCTTGAGGTTTTATTAGAGATATTAGAACTAATACCTTTCAACAACTAAATGTTTTCTTGACATTATATTACGGCGGACCAGGCCTTTATAAAAGACTGCTTTAAAAACTAAGTTGTCAAGGATCTACACTAATATATAAAGCTAAAGAGTTCGTTTATTTTAACGCTCTAATCTCCGGAACTACTGGCTCAAATTGAAAAATTATTGCTGTATAAGAGCGTTTATTGAGGAAGGCTATATATAGGCTATAAAAGATCGCGGTGTGACTAATATGAGCGAAAAAACAGCGGGATATGGGATAGCGGGTTTCCGTTACATACTCTGCAAAAACTGTTCAAGATACCCAAAAATAATGTATGGTAGAATGATTGTTCCTTATAATATGATCTACAAACATGTCCGCTACAGTATAACTTTTAAGACTACCTTGCAAAAACGACGGGACGCGAAGCGTTTGTAACAGCCACAATTTATACGAAGTCGCTGACACAGCTAATCTAGAATAAATTTGAATACTAATACTACTAATTAATCGTTAGAGCGTAAATTTATTTTGCATGGCGTCGGCCTGGGTTAAAACGTTGACCACACCTGTAGTCAATTAAGATGTTAAGCAGCGTGACGCCCGTTTCTTTAAATAAAGGCATTCCTGCTGATCATAACCTTACTTAGCGTACTTACAAATCTATTTTGTCACGTTTAAAGTAATCGTATTTCTATCTGCTTTATAACTTTGACCGCTTTAGCAAGTGTAGGTACTGAAAACAAGAATATGTTCCAACGCTATTCTCTATTACGTCATAGATTCTAACTTAGTATTTTTACTTAGCTTAGTAAATTTACAAAGAAAGAAGTCCACAAAATTAAATTATTTCCACCATTTTTCCCACAATTCCCAATGTTTCTTCGTCTATTTGTCGCAGTGATGTAGCCTCAAGCGTTCCTAGTTAAATGGGCTATTCAACACATTTTTTCAATTCGAACAAGTAGATCCTGAGATTGGCACATTCAAACAAACAAACAGATTTATAGAAATTATTAGTATAGGTATGGACAATGCTTTAATTAAAATTGCAACAATTAATACTAATTCTAGAGCTTAGCAGAAAATGACTTACTCCTAAGTTCATCTGGTTGATATTTCCTGATGGCAACAGAAACAGCCTGTTCGATGCTCCGTACATAAACTCCACTCTGTTGTGTCATGGGTGTGAAATCCCTTTGGCGCGGCTCGAACACATCTCGAATTCCTAGCTGTAGTACATATTTGTTATTAAATACTATAATGTTAAATACTGTCTAGTTTACGTGAGTAGTATATTTACATAAAATACTTTAATGGTTTAAAATGCGATATATCTTATTTAAACTAAACTAAACTAAATAACAACTTCCGGTTTCCCCGTGACGACGGCTGCAAAGCATCTGAAACGTCGGGCCGTAATTAAAATGTTCAAACAAGTTTAACTAATATACATCGCGTTTTAAACCGTTAAAGTGTTTTAAATAAATTTTACTATAATGATCTCAGTGTTCATTAACTAAACAGAAACGTCAAGATTGAAGAAGCCTCTAGTATTATGAAACCGTTATTGATCAAAGAAAATAAATAATTTGGAACTACTAAGTACGTTGGTCAAGTGCGTCCCAGTTATCTACGTTGAAAACAAAATGGGATGCTTTACAGCAGCTATGGTCACGGTGCCTCATACGCGTTTTAAACCGTTGAGTGTTTTTATTTTAATATGTATAATTCGCCTAATCTACTGTTAGACGTTACTTAAAAGGAGGTCAACTAAGTCTGGCACGATTTAGTTATAAAAACGTAACCATCGTAACGACTACTCACATAAAATAAAAATAAGTAATATGAAATAGTAAAACGATAAATAATAAGTCACAAACGGAAATCTGTTAAAATTTAATTTGCTTAATATTTATTTTGAAACTAAAGTGCATTGAATTTTAAATTACCGTGTCTTAAATATAAATTTTAAATTGTAATAAATACGTCAGAAAGTAACAATCTTATTAAAGTATATAAATATATAATAATATTACTTATTATTATTATTTCAAGAAGGTGAAAATTTTCCCAACGGCGGGTCCAGAAAGAGGGTTATGAATCTGGATCTCCCCCTCCTGATCTGGCTCTAATATTTAGACGGATTTGTACGTTATTATGTGTTAAATTCTTCAAGTGTAAATGAATATGTTTAAGTACAGTACGTTTACGTACATTAATAAAAATTCTTGACATTATCATGACTATGCACCCATCCCCGCCTTGCCCCAAGGCTGAAGCCTCCCTAGGAAATGACGTGGTATAATCATAGCATCCACTTACTTTTTGCAAATCAGTAGTTAGAGTGACATGACCCTTAACTGTGAAGCTGGGTATCACCGCTCTAACTCGTCGAGCTCTTAAGGCTCCATAAACGTCGGAGAGGTCAGACTCTCGAGCCATGCGTGCAAGAAGCCGATTGAGCTCATCAGTACCTGACTTCAGCGGCAGTACTACAAGCAAATAGTACTTGTCACTGTCCAGCGGTAGACGAAGAGCTGATGCCTCCAGGTGGGGTAAAAAGGCGTGGTCTAACACTGCATCGTAATGCATATACGAGACCTAAAACAAATTAACGGTTATAAAAACTAATTTATTTAATAATAAAGTAATGTTATATAATATTTTATATCACGGGCTGTCGAACTTTGCGTTAACCACGAGAGGTTCCAGGTTCGAATACCTGGGAACAGTCAGGGGAAAGTTAGCCGAGAAGACTTACTTAAGATGCCTGAAAAATAAAGCGGTCACTATTTGTGATTCCGCCGCGCTTAAAAAAATGTAATAATTTTTCATATTTTGAAATCATTAATATTTTTTCACATGTTATTTAGATGTTAGGTTCAAGTTCCGTTCGTGTCGTTAAACGTGTTCAATCTAAAATCGATTTTTAATTTATTATTTTTTATAGTTTTTAAATAGTACCTAAATTTATAGCTCATTAACAAAAATGTACCTAACTACATTGTTTCTTTTTAAAAATATTTTTTAATACCTATACAAGTTTTCCTACATTAGTTACCTGTATATTCCGAAGTCCATTGACCAAAAACATGGAATCGCTATTTGTATCGCTGTCAAGTATTTCGGGTCCTATATTAAAGGACCTGTATAGCAAATAATCATCTATGTACGGTGGGCTGGTATACACAAAGTCTACTATCGACTTCTTCTTCCTTTGAAGCGTTTCTAACGTTGATTCATTGATTGTTGTTGGTGTGCCGTCTGTAGTCGTTGGATCTGATGATGTTTCTGCCTCCATAATTTGTGTTGAACTTATTTGTACTGTAGCATCCGTGATGGTTGTCTGACTACTTTCAGCTACATTGGGTTCCGTTGGCGCACTGGCTGTTACTGATTCTGTGGTGACGGTTGTTGTTTCCGCCTCCGTTGGCACTACTGTTGTTGTTGTTACTACTTCAGTTGCTCTTGACTGTTCTGTTGTGACATCTTGTATAGTTGTAACAGTCTCTGAATCTAATTGTGTTACGGCCAAGTTTGCTGTATTGGAATCGCTTGTTGCTTCAGAATTACCGTTAGGAGTAGTACTCAAACTTGGAGTAGATTCTGTAATTGTCGTTTCTTCTCGCGTACTCACGCTTGTCGCAGCTGTTGATGTGACTGTTGTTGTACCTTCAGTAATTTTATTTTCTGTATTATTTCCATTGTTTGCGGACTCAGGCAATGGGTCATTTTGTAAATCAAAACCATAAAATCGAAGTATGTCCTTGTAACTCGTTGCAAAAGTAACGTTTTCATTATTTAAAGCTAATCCTGCTAAGAAGCCTTCTTCTGGTACAAAATATGTCTGAAACATTTCAACGATTGTTACATCTTTCTACAGCGAAATAAAACAAAAAAGCGACCAACATTTGTGCGAAACTCGTAAACTAATAAATGTTTAGGGGAGACTAATAAATTGGGTATTTTTTTAATTCAACTTACTCAAATCTGTTTTCGTGTTTGATATTTTGTCCTTAGTTATAATATAGCTATTATATTAAGACAATATATATACTTTTTTATGACACACTTGTGCAAAACAATTTAATACAAAAATAAGGAAACACATTCAATGAAAAATTGTATATCTAGCTGTACAAATTAAATACATTGTTATGACTAAATATTTTATAACGATTTAGAAGAAAATAAAACTCTTACCTTTAATGTTCGGTGAATATCTCTGAAACCTATTCGCATTATGTTTCTGTTCCAAGGTAATTGCATGCTGCGCTGTATTTGGTAAGAAGACTCCCCATCCACTCCCTCATACAACGCTACTAATATTCCCATCAGACCGTAGGGTGAAAAAGCTATATTATTTTCATTCAAGTAATTGTGTTCTGCGAGAACTTTTATACCCAACTCATTCGTAACGTCCACCATGTGTGCTAGAGGTGTTCTCTTGGAGTCCCAAAATTTTATTTCTATAGGAACGCCGCGTTCAGAATTTGCGACAGGAGTGAAAGTGTTAATGTAGGCGTAAACACAAAACAAATGCGGGACAATGCCGAGAATGGCAGCGCTAATACGTCCGGTCCAGTCCATGATGACCGCCGGTTTGTCTGCGGTTCGCTGCCTTCGACTACAGGTTAAGCCAGGTATCTTATTAGCGTTTACTTCAGATCGTCGGTGAATGCCCTCTGATGAAGCTCTCATATAAATTTGCATGTGTTCAGGCGTAGGTACATCCAATTACCGTATGATAACAATAAAATAAAATATTCTATTCTGTTTCTCACTAAACAACATTGTATTGCTGCTACTGCTATTTTTGTGACAGTCGATAATTATTTGCAGTGAATAATATCATATCAATATAAGGAGCAAAATTAATATTATTTACATTCTAAAGTATTTTTTATACATTACAATTTCTCGAAGGAGCTATGATAATGTAAACCACACAAGATATATTAGTATATTATAATATTTCTGAATTATTTAATAAACATCATAAACATACATTTTTCTATTAATTTATTAAGTCTTTTTCGGTGCATTGCTATAGATGTGGATCGAAAGCAACACCTGACATGTTCAACGGGTCGAATGGTTGATATAAAAGTAATACAAAGTGAGACTTGTTTAATTAAACATGGAATACTTTCTTACTATATATATCTACTTTCTTAAGATAAGTTAGGAAAACACAATTCCACACCATTCTATATGCCGGCGTTTTTGTCTGTCTTCCTATATGGGAAACAAAATTAACCTGTAAACCTTCATAACCCCATCTACTCACCATCTCTACAAAAGAACAGAAGTTCTAACTTCGGTTCAGCAGTGCAGGAGATAGAGGGAGAGTCGCATACAGACTGATAAGAAACTGTTTAATCGTATAACATCTGTCTGTGGTACGTACATTCTGTCGATAGCATCTGTGGGCGCAACTGCGACGGCTGTATTATCTTTCTACATCCACGCTACGTTTCTTATCTGTGGTGTATAGGTTTTGGGTGACAGGAATTTGGAACTCATCAATCCATTCTCCAAATTGATTTTCATGGAAGTAGAATTTGTAGAGGATTTAATATGTTAATATTCTTAAACAGCTGCCGTCATCTACTAAACCACTACGAAAGTAAGCTCTGATTCGAATCACTTTCAAAGGATTTTTACATTGCAAATGTATTACAGATCGAACTGAGACCAAAGAGTCCAGTCGATGAAAAATTTGTAGATATACAAGGCAAGGTTAGTTTAAATATTTGATTATATACTTTTATTAAACGCATTTTTCCTCATTGTATATACGTAAGTCAAATTATATTGTCTAAAGTTTTATATATTGTATTTGTTATTTACAAAATTGCATAAAGTGCAGTCATTAGTTAGCATTGAAGGAATAATATTGTTTGTTTACAATTAGGTTTATGAATTGATCTTATTTTGGGTAAGTGGAAGAATACTAGATTGATTGCTCTCTTGGTTACCTTACAACACCTATCTTATGCGTTTTTATCTACTAAAAAATGGTTGAGTTTATTATATAATATATTTAGTGTTAGGCTACCAAAAACAAAATATTTTTTAAGGTTTTATGTTGAATGGTTATCGCATATATTTATTTAAATATTTGTAATTTAACAATATAAAAGATCCCCCTTTTGAGTTTGAACAGCATTGTGTCTGTTTAAAAACTTAGAATACCAAAAAGTAAAACTTTTGGTTTACATAAGGTTATCAACAGATTGTGACGTCAAAGAACTGGCCTGTTGAAGTAAGTATATTTAAAAATACTGAGTAAGTATCATTTTCATATTTAAAAAGAAACCTATAAGAAAAAATAAATAAATTGCCAGAATTTATCTTTTCAATTTATTTTATTACAGCGTTGTGAATCAGACGCGTTGAAGATTATAAGTTTAGTGAAACTAAGTCTATGACCGTAGTGAGGTCATAAACTTAAAGTGTAGTGAATCAAGATGGAGCTACCCGACTGCCCTCCGGGTGCAGAAGGATACCAAGATACGGTTACCGAAGTCCCGAAAAAACTTGATGTTGAAGGCGGAACTAAGGTAAATATAAGTAATCTAAAATTAGTTTATTGTACATGAGTGAGTTTTAAGTATTTATAAAAACATATTTAGATTAAATGATGTGCATTATGTTATTTGATTAATTAAATTTAACCCAAACTTAAATAATTTGATTTATTATATTCAATTCTGGTTCTAAATTCGAAATTTTATATATACCTACCTAAGTACAGATAATGATAATCATCAACATATAATTATCCACCATTTGTTGTTTCATAAAATTCTTCACCTCTCAAATAATTATTTATTCAACTCAGTTCGGTAACAAAATATATATTAAGATATTATGTCAAGACAAGCTAACAAAATCATGTGTTGCTAAGAGTAATAGGCTTATCGACGGCTAGATCCCAGCTTTTAGTTTTTAATTTTTACTATATCAATTAATTGAATATTAAATTAATTAATTATTATATAAATAAAGTTGGCATGGCAACATGATTACAGAACATAACTTAAATTTGCTTGTAAAGATTTTATCAACGTATTAGTTGCAATTTAATTTTTACCTTTTTTATAAATATCAGAATGGTGAATACTCAAATGGTACAGGAGTTTTCAGGAGTCAGTGGTTTTTGCAATACTTATAGGTACTATTATGCTTTGCGTTTTCTACCTTTTTGACCGTCGTGATTGAAAAGTGGCTTTCGACGTAGGGCCAGTGTGACACGGTTGGTAATTTCTTATTTAAATTGAAGGTTCTATTTTATTGCGACTTGTGTGTGTTAGGCAGCATTGTTGTGCTCCTAAAGCAGAAAATCTAGGTTAATTCTAATTATATTAAAAAATATACACGGTTCATGTTAAATTTCGATCTAATTACTATAATTAGACAAATAGATACAACAAAGCTATCTCTTCCGCTTTATGCTATAGAACTTAGATCAACCGCCAACAAAGGTGGCCGTTAATTATTAAATATATGCACCAAATAGTCCTGGAATTTGTTCAGGTTAACCAGCCAGCCTGGTTATGCCAGCAAAAGTGAACAGGCTCTAGTTTATGTGGTCGGCAAAAGACAATGCGTGTAGCGTCGTGCTGAACAATCGTATCGCGAAAAATACTATCTCAATAATAACAGGTTTAAGTTATAGATACGGTAGATCTTTATGTAATTATCCCTTTTATTACATAAGCAAGGTTTTTCTTATATCAGACAATTATTTGAACACGGTAAACCTTTGAAAACATTAATATTTTTCACATGTTATTGCACATGAAGGCACTATATAATTTAAAAATCGAAAATAAATTGAAAAAATTTTCGACTCGGGCAGGACTTGACTCGGTAGCTCAATTGGTAGAGCAACAGCACGGAAAGCTGACGATGCCGGTTCAAGTCCTGCCCGAGTCGAAAATTTTTTTCAATTTATTTTCGGTTTTTAAATTACACGGTAAACCTATTGACAGCGTTGAGTATAACAACGGTTTCTTTAAATTTTTTCGCTGTGTTGTGGTTTTAAGAGAATATGCAACTTTGTGTATGTGCTAGAACATTCGTTAGTAGTGTTCGTACTGGTGAGTATAGTATGAAAAACTCAATTTTTTTGTAAAATAAATATATTGAAAACACATCAACTGTCGTATTTTATTTACCTAAGTCCCCAGACATCTGAATATTTACAGTGTGAACTAATTACCTTGTGTATATAGAGAACTAAATGTTTTATGTTTTTCTAGGCGGAGCAAGAGTTCTTGAAACACTTGAATAGTTTGAAGATCAAGATCGAAGATGGCTCGGTACGTTGTATGGTGGACAGGCGCGGGCGCGATATTTCTGGCAACTGGATCTACTTGTGCTATCCTTGTGCCGCCCAGTGCAGCGGGGAGACAGTACTGCAGGTTGTTAATTTTTTTTTCTATATATTCCTTATTTATCCTTGTCCGTTAGAGGCAAAAAAATTATGAATTGAGGTTGTTCTATTTTCATAGACTAAAAATGTTAATCCACAAATTCATTTTCGCCTAAGTTAATTGAGTATTTTTTTCCTCCCTATTGAAAGTCATGTTCATTGTTATTAGGCCATTCTGCGTCTAGCAGCCTCATAATGTAAATACAAATGTATATATATAACTAAAAATGTTCGTATATATTGTACCTATGTGTTGACAATATGATTGTGATGTTTTCAGGTACATATTTCGGGAAAGAAGCACAAGACAAAGTTATCGATGAAGACTGTTTGGCCTCTGTCAATTTTTGAAGAACATCCGTTCATTCTTAATGAGAAAGGAGCTAACTCGAAATTTGGAGGTAAATTTATCTATACAAATATATAAAAGCGAAGAATTTGTTTTTTGGTTTGTCTGTTTGAACGCGCTTCCTACTGGTTCGAATAGATTTTTTTTTGTATTGATTAGAGCATTTATCGAGAAAGGCGCGCATTGCGATGTGAATAATAGGAGCGAAGAAACAGCGGTAAATGTGGAAAAAACGGGAAAAATTATTCATCTTAGAGGATTTCAAAGCCTTACGCTGCGAAGGGTTCAAGTACCCAAAAAATATCGGATGAAAGTATTACACATTTGGATGTTCAAAATAACAATTCTACGCGAACGAAGTCGCCGACACAGCTAGTTCTTGATATTAGTAAAAAACTTTTCATGTCATATTGAATTTTAAACAATATGTGCTCGTTCCAGCAACATCGAAAGTACTCCAAAAGTTTAAGGAGGAAGTAAATCTACACAACAGTTCTTTGGAGCAAAAATACAATCACTACAGAAATACACGGTGCCACATTCAAGATACTTTAGAAGGAACGAAGTGAGTATTCACATTTGATTTTGTTGCATTTTAAGTTTTAATATTATAAATTAGATTATTAAATTTTTTTATCTACATTTGGAGATATAAACCTACAACATTTGAAATCCTCACCGTTCCATCATGGTTCAAAGTTCCGTCTGTGTGATTGAGGTTGTAATCTATATATTTATATTAGAATTAACTTTATTAAAAATGCAAAGACACCTATCTCCTACAATTCTCCTAAATTTCTCGATTTTTTTTAATGAATGTCAAAATAAAACGTATGAAGTTCTAGGAAATCTATACACCCTGCTATGTTTTTCTTCTCAGATTTTCTTAATTTACACCCAAAATAGCAAAAAATATTGTGTTTGCATATTTAGTCTCAGCCTCAGCATCTCATGGGAAATCATGATAAAGCGTTCATGTGGCATAAAGTCACCCACTTGCTTGTAATAAACGAAACGGGCATTCAAATGTGTCTGTTCTTTCTCTCAACTTGGGAAATAAAGTTTTTACTAATGCTTTGGTATTACAGAGCACCATTGCTGGGCATCGAGTATTTGATTGAGCACCCCCCGGATGAGCCACACCACGAGCCGATGTACCTCTGCGTGTTGTGCTTCAAACAGGGACATCCGCGCACCATCGTCAACCACCTCACCTGCTTCTCTCATCGGCGTCATTATTTCGTAAGTGCTAATATACTTAAATAAAACACTTTTAACAGTTTAAAGTCCGAAATATATTACTGATTTTTTTTAAATTATGGCCACCGACGTTTTGGATTGTTTTCATAGCGTTCCTAATGTCAATGCTACGCTATCGCCATCTGTTTCGTCGTAGTCAGTATTTGGAGAAACTAGCTGGATCCTTACTAAATTGAGCAGGACTTGAACTCGCAACCAATACAGGCACAGTAGTCTTGGGTTTGAGCTCCACACGTCTGATTTCTTTACTATTTTTTTTCATTATTTTCTAATAATATCACTTTACGAGGGGGCTACGACTATTTCTTCTGACGTACTGTTATAATCATTATTCTAGTATTTAGGTCGCTTGATTTTTAAATTTTTTTTTTTCAGAGCAAGCATTTCCCGAAGGCGAACTTGGCACTGACGCCTTACTATTACCAAAAGGACACGCGCACCGGTCTCATGATGGTTATGAACCGTTTAGCACAATGCATCGAGCACAAGTACGGGCGCATGATGCCTGTTAACTTCCAGAAGGACGAGTACGAACTCCACAAGTGAGATTTTCCAACTACCCTACAAATGATAATCACAAAAAATCAACTTTTATTGTAAAAAACCTTGACCTTGAGCTTTTTTCTTAAATTTCAACTTTAACACTTTGACGTTGAAACAACTTGTATAATAATAATTAATAAGTAATTGACTATACCTTACGCGAGTGGCGACATTGAAATAAAGTCCTTGTAATGGTTTAAAACGCGAAATATATTATTTTAACTACGGCCCAAAGTTTCTACTACTTAATTTTCGCGTTTTAAACCGTTCAGTAATTTTAAAATGACTATATAAATTAAAAATCTATTCAGAGTGAAAAATGCGGAATTTAAACACGTTTGGAAATCGGAATATTACATGGGTGGTAGAAATATTGAAATTCCATCTGAGTTTCAAAGCACCGATGAAGAAGCCTTCAAGTTTAATTGCGTTTCGGTTCCTATCTCTGATTTTCCGAGTATCCAAAGTCAAAATGGTACCGACAGCGCATCATGTTTAAATGTTATATGGCTAGGATAATTCACCTACCATCAAGTGCCTGTCTGTCCTCCTCTATAATATTTTTTTATCTTTTCTTACAGAGAGGAAATTCATAAATGGATATATCAGGGCAAACACTTTTCTGAATCAGACGGATGTACCTTCGAAGAGGTTGTGGATGCTGACTTGATCACTTCCATCAATGATTCAGGTTGGTATTTCCTAAAATATTCCATATGAATACTTATTCATATGGAATATTTTAGGAATTATCTTTATTATAATAAATTATAATAAATTTGGAATTATCAAATTCATAAGATACTTATCTTATGAATTTGATAATTCCAAATTTATTTGAACTACCATAGAAATGAGGGATCCATCGCCACCGGTTGTAGCTGCACCTTTAAGACCAAAACCAAAGGTAAGGCTCGTAAGCTTTAAATTTTAAAATTTGCTTATTTTTTGGGGATGTTTTAACCCCATATTTTTTTGTTTTTTTTTTAATGTACAATGAGCATATAACATTGTTTTAACTTGTCTTAAGAAGTCTGCCTATTATTTTTCAGTAACGCATAGATAATATTTGCTTGCTTTATTGTCAGTTGTTAAATGAAGAAAGTAGACACTTTTATCAATTTGACAATATACATATTTAACAATTTTGTAGTCAATCATTTAATTTATTAATTATTTTCAGCCGACACCTGGCAACACTCGTGACTTTTCAACGGAAATATTGTCTGATATAAGCGATGAAGATGATCGTCGCGAATCCGCCAAGAACAGGTATTTATTTTGTGTGTAGTTTAGTGTTGCAACTTATAAAATTGAATCCTTAAAAATATATATAAATGTCTATTGCAGTAGGCATTGCGTGGAATAAAAAAAATACCTATAGACTGTTTAACATTTCTTCCCCTTATCGGGCCCCAGCATTCCTTTGTCTGTATATGGTTTACTGACAATTTTTTACTACAGATCACATTTTGGTGCCCTGAATATATTTTCAGCTAGCTGAATATCAAACGGAGATGAAACTATTCATATTTATGAGAACTTATTTTTTTTAAGGAGCTGGTACTCTCAGAGACATCGCTCTGGAAATTTGGATTACAAGATAAAACTGGCCAAGGAGTTGCAGTCCGAGGCCGAGGAGGCAGCCAGGAAAATGCTCGCGTACCACGAGAAGAACCCAGAGAAGCACCCCTTGTACCCAGAGGAGTGGAAGAAGTTCTGGAACAGGCGTTACAAGGAGTTGCAGACTGGTAACTAGCACATACTAAGCAGTGGTTAGGCCTAAAAAGCAAAAAAGTCAACAGTAAAATAATACTTTTGTGAAATCTGTGCGACGCCTGACTTAAAACAATGTATCGTTTCCCGGGATTCGATCCTAGGATCTCTTGCGCTTACCACAATATTTTTATTATTTTATTTTTTTATCACCTACACTATGGTTTGAAATCGGCCATATTTGTTGTGGTCTTTTGCCAAGTAAGAAAAAGTACACGTTACGCGTTTAAGTTAAAGTGTACGTACGAAAGAGGGTTAAGAAGCAGTGAGCATTCGATAATCGGTCTATTTGCAGAGGGCAAAGATCCGTCGAAGCACGATTTCAAACCGGAATGGATAAAATACTGGACGACGCGCATGAAGGAGTTGCACGATGAAGAACTCCGCGTCGCCGTGCACGAGATTTACCGCAAATTCACTTTGCCGCCGCCCACTCATATTGCGACCGCCCAAAGATCTGATATGGTATATAAATATAACACGGTTGAAATCGTGTTTATTAGTTAGGTTATTTCCAATTATGACCCGACTTTTCGTATAGATTGTAATCGTAGTCGTCTGGTGTGATCTAATATATTTAGAGATATTAGAGTTTTCAACTGTTATTTGAATATATTTTATTTGTATGATAAAGCGATGAAAGAGAAAGCATTTATACATTTTTTAAACAAAATTGTTTAAAAAATGTATAAATATATTGGACTGATATCGTTTCGTGTACCGGAATTTCGATATTCCTTGCACCCATTTAATAATATCCAGATTTCCCAATGAAGTCGGAGGGATTCCAACCCACGACCTGTAAATTATAAGCCATACATTGCTACCATTACACCAACGAGGCCATCAAATTAATAAATTTAAATTATTTAAAGAATATTATTAAATTTCTTCTATACCTACCAATTACTTAGGACTCAAGACGCCGCTCTTATGAAAAGAGACGATCGAAATCACCAACATCCAGATCCTCGCCCGACTACAAGTCCAAGATGGGCAGGTTCCGTTCCCCCGACCGCAGACGATCACACGAAAGAAGACGCTCACCTGAACGGAGACGATCACCCGAAAGACGGCGGTCACCAGATCGGAGGTTCTCTCCATCACATCGACCTATGCGGCATCGATCGCCAGACACGCGGTTCAAGTTGGACCGCAGGCCCGGTTTCCAAAAAGGGTGAGTGGTGAAAGGAAATTACATTGCCATTACCTTTCGCGTAATGGCAATGTAATTTTAACCTTAATATGTATGTATTGAGATTCATTGTTGCTTTGCTTACGAATTAAACGAGTTCAACGTTCAAAAACTTTATTATTATCATATTGGCATTATACAATTTACAAATCTATTTTAAATTAAATTTCTTTTTTATCTTTTCAGGGTTAGGAATCGGCCAGAGTCACCTCCACGGCGGCGATCGCCGTTGAGACGCTTAAGAACGCGTTCGCGTAGCCCCGCCAAGAGGTATATATATATGTCTAACTTACTGTAATACATGTAGAATATCCAATCTAAAATTGAAGTATGTGAGATTTGTTACATAAATGCTCTATATCCCCCGTACGATGCATGGGGCATACACATTTTTCGCATATCGGCCAGAATCGAACCAGAAAGTAGTAATATCAATATAAGTATCAATGTACAGTAGTATAAAAAAAATGTAGTTGCTAAATAATGTTGTCGTGGAAAGAATGGATAAAAGAGTTGGCTTGCAGGTCCCGCAGTCCAGGGCATGGCCCTATGCGAAGCCGAGGCAGTCCCCTTGTCCAACGAGACCGACGCGCCAGCCCCGGGGCACGGAATCCGAGCCCGGTTGCACCTTCAATGCAAACAGTTCTCATCTCGGACGATGAGTTGAAAGCGTAAGTCTTTTCTATACACAAAAGTGGTATTACGTTTAGTTTGATAATTGAATAGAAATATTCGTCGGGTTTTGAAGCATTGTGGAATAAATAAAATTAAGAAATCGAACTTTTCGTTATCCCTGATATTGATTAATTACACCCACAAAGTATTTTGACTCTGTATTAGTTTTCTTGTCATTATAATCTATATAACATGTATATACAATGCTGCTCGTTCTGCCCGACGCGGGTTAAAATGTATGTAATTTACTAGGGATGATAGTAAAAAGGATTAAAAAAAGGAGGCTATCCTTAAGATAGCCATTTTATTTTCACATATAAATTCTTTCGTCGCGTTCGACGATAATATTTGACGCAGTGGTTTAGCTAAGAGTTTAATGTAATAAGATATACTGGTAATAAGGTGACGGTCATAAGTTAGTCGTCTGTAACATATTCTTACAGGGACGGGGCTTCCCCGTGGGACTCTGACGAATCTCTGGGCTCCCTGCCCGAAGTACGTTCACCTGCTCCGCGTTCTCGCTCTCGCGCCGACAGTCGAACTTCGCGTGTCTCGCACGCAAAGCACAATAAACAAGACTATAAGGTACATATTTTAATATTTCGCTACCTACTTTGTTTTGCTATATTTATATAGAGAAAATCTGATCTATTCTCAGACCTAACGAATTTTATAATTAATTGTATCTTAAAAAATGGCTGATGACGTCACAATACAATTTTAAAAGAACAATTGACCATAAATGTTTCCATGACAACACACCTAGTGTTGTCCAATTTATAATCATTACTGAATCACCGATTATACAAAATGGTGAAAAAAAATCAAATAAAACAGAAGTACTAAGAGTGCGACTTATGTTCGTTTTAACATTTAAATAAAGCGATAAACATTATTTAATTCTAGATCATTTATATTTGTCACTTTTTAATTATCTATTGCAGGACTTGACCGGTTCAGCGGACAATATTGTCGCAACGCTACGAATGTTGGTAGCACTTGAGGACCATCTCGGTAGCATGGGACCGAAGGTCGTCGATCTGCTCGCAGAGGCTATTCGCATGGAGAAGGTGCAGTCTTATTTATTCACTGGTGGTGACTTTGCCTTTGATCACTTGGATTTCTTACTTTTGACAGACTATATACAACAGATAGCGGGTGCATGCAGACATAGAAATGCTTTTTCTATGGCATTGAAATGAAACTTAATTATCTCCAAATCTTCTTTCTTCTTCTTCCAATATTATAGGACGCAAAATCAAGTTTAATATTTAACCATTACTTTTTCTTGATATAGGAGAAGCCAAATTCGTCCGAGATGCTCTTTGAACGTGAGACTGCAGTGGTCCTCATTGAGACCGCAAAGGAAAAGCTGAAGGGGTCGCTACAGGCGGGGCTGGTGTCGGGCAGCGCAGCCGTGGCGATTCGATCCGCCGTCGTGCGCGCGGCAGCCACTCTTTACGAGGCAGACAGGCGCTCTAGGGCCAAGCATAAGGTATGGTTTATCCAAAAAAATGGGTAGTAGTATTGTGACCCTGCAAGGAGGAAATGGGGAAATGGATGAAATGGTCAGCTGATAACGTGGACTGATCACCCGTCCTACCACAGGTGTCCCCGAAAGAAAATAATAATAATTGTGACCCTACGTGCCTCTAGGACTTTTATATAATGCCGTCCCCCCGTGACTACGGCTAACCAACTAACCTCAAAAAACTTCAGATTTACCTGGATCATTGATACATATGCTTATGATACACTTGATACTTTCTTAGTAACTATGAATAAAGTAACAAACAATTGTACAACGTAAAAACTTAAAAAAAACTACGGATATTATGTGTAGTTTACGCGAGTAGAACACATTTAAATAAACACTAACGGTTTAAAACGCGATATATATTAGTTGAAGATTATTTTTAACTTCGGCCCGACGTTTCGGATACAAAAAAATAACTTTCAAATAAGTTTAATTGATATATATCGCGTTTTAAACTGTTAAAGTGTTTTATTTTAAACTACAGATTTTACTACACTAATTATGTCCATTAAAAAATACATTACAGACAACGAACACGCTAAACAGCAAGCCCAAGAGCGCTGTCCCCGTGGCAGGAGTTGGTGAAGTGGATCGGGAGGAGATCGCGCAGCAGATGGCCGCAGCGCTCATAGCTCAAGGGAAGACGGACGTCTCTTCGGAAGAACTGGCGCAACTCGTCGATGCAGTAGTTAGTACCATATTTAAATACAAATGTTATTAGAAGATCTATAACTATTTTGTTTCTTCCGTCTTCTTGCTTCCTTCTTTCTGTCCTTTTTTTCTTTTAATTTAAATACATACTTTTGTCCACCATCCAATTTTCTTTTTACAAAAAAAAACAAGCATACTTTATAGACAAAAACTGACAAAATGATCATCCTACACAATACAAAGATTATCTCTAAGGGACCTCTTATAATTTGTAGGTTGGTATGGCAGAGGCGAAAAAGAGGGAGGCTATACTAAAAGAGCAAGCAAAAACAATTGGATCTCAAAGTATTGCCAGCGCAGACAGGGATTCAGCTGGCTCTGCGCTACAGCTATTGCAGTCGGCCTACGATGATAAAAAGTATGTTTTTCTTATATACGTTCTTCAACGAACCTTCGATCTCTAACCAAAGTTATACGTCATAGTAATGGCATATATTTAATTCTGTGCTTTATATTTTTTGATGATAGAGAAGGACAGAAAAGCATATGTTTCACTCGATGGAATGTAAAATACCTCAGCCATCTCAACAAGATGACCGACCTATATTGGCTTTGAATTCGTACATCCGCATGGTGGAACCGAAACGCGAATAACTTTTACAGCTTCTTCATGTAATCCTTGGATATTTTGATATTTCTACCGTTATCCAGAAAAATGCTATCCAAATAAATTATTTAGAAATATATTGCTCGGTGGAGAGCGAACTTAAGACCTGTTAATTAATAGCTATACATTTCGACCAAGAACCTGAATCTGTCCCGCCCTTTGTGCATAGGTTAATCATAGCTACGGCTCACATATGTGTACAATAAAAGACTGCATTTCAGAGCCGAAGAGAAAGATGCATTAAACTCTGCATCAGATGCGATGGATGGTCTCTCTGACTCCGATCTAGAGACATTGCTCAAGAACTTCAGTGAACTATCAGCCGAGGAGCAGCACAGCTTGATAGCATACTTGAAAAAACTTGAGGCGCGCGAACCGGCTCGAGTTGAAAGACTTCGGCAGTATGTAAACGCAGATTCTGCAGAAAATGCGCCATTTACCCAACCAGCTAACCCGGCGTCTGCGCCTCCCTCCACTTCTGCGCAACCTGATAGCCACGATGTTAAGCCTGTTATCATAGAAAGTGATGATGATGATGATTATACTGTTGAAGAGGTGAGTAAATGAGCAACCGACATACAAGTTTATTATTTAAGTATAATTGAGCTTTCTGCTCATTTTTTTTATAAGGGAGGATTTACAGACACCATCGAGTAAACCCCATTCACTTGATTAATACCCCAGCCATGTAACATCTAAACAAGATGTGCTGTTATTTTGGCTTTGTATATTCGGAAATCCAGACTGTAACCGAAACGCGAATAAACTTTACCAGGTTTTTATCTGTAAGCGGTGGTTCTTGACTCGTACGGAATTGCAATATTCCTACCAGCACCAATGTAAAATCAAAATGTAAAATCGAGTTTTAAATTATTTGAATGTGATTTTATTCTGCAGGTCTTTAAATCGGCGACACAAAAAGTAAAGGAGGACCAAATGCGGCAAGAGTTGGAGATAGTAAAGAAGTCTTTAGAGAAACAGTCGCCACCACCTGACGCCGAGAACTCTAAACTTCCAGAGCCCGCTTATGATTTTACCAAGAATTTATCTTCCGCATCTGAGCTACTCGCTTTAGTGCAAGCGTCTATACAATCGCAATCAAATATGTCGGCTCCCATCACACAGTCTGCCAGCGTTACACCCACGACAGCTGCTGGGCAACCCAGATTGTTCGGAGACACGTCAGAAGTTGAGCAGAGGAAGCCAATTTTAGAAACACCAGCGCATTATGAAATACCGTCTATATTAGGCAATAACAATTTCGATCGGCCTTGGAATGCAAATCAGAGGAGTCAAGGACCCGAAGCAATGTACCATAATCCACAGACTCAGCAGAATTACAACAATCCTCCCTTAGTGAACCAAGGCAATTTTCAGCCGGGCCCGAATAGAGTTATGCAATACGGCCAAGGCCCTGGATATCAAGAGAATTATAACATGCAAGGGAATTTCAACAATACAATGTATCAGGTGCCACCTAATGTCCCGTTTAATCAAGTGCCGAGAGAGAATTTTATCAATGGTGGTATGACAGATATTCACAATCGACAAATTGTCCCCATTCAACAGTTTGGGAACAGACCACAGTATGGTAATAATTATGAGCAGAATAATTTTAGGGGACGAGGCAGGGGCAGAGGGTTCGGGGGGCCAAGAGGCCGTGGGCGGGGTCATTATTAGTCTTCTTTTAGATTTGATTTGATTAAGTAACAGGATAATTATTAAATTGAGGAATTACTACGAATTAATCTCTTGTTTCATTTCCAAGGACGACTTCATAATCGAGTATTTTTAATTTGAAGATATTTCTTGCTTTTTACATTAGCTTTAGATGGGACTGCAGAATTATATCAGTGTTCGGTCATAAATATCAAGATTTAATTAAAGCTAATTTTAATATTATACAACCAAAAAAGTTACACATTTAACTACGTTTTTGAGACAAATATGTATTTATAGTTCCATCCATATATATAATTTATAAAAATAAACGTTTAAGGAACAGCTATTAGCGCAGATAGACGTCTAAAAGCAACAGTTCACATTTCAGCTTTTGAACTGTTGCTTTTTACAAATTCAAATTAGGTATTCTATTGTTTAATTGTTATTTACATATACATTGAAACATGAGTAGATGTGTATATTTAAGGTCCCATTTTCATCAGTCATCGATGTTGTTGGTGTCCAGCAGAATGTCAATTTCGACAGGCTCGGATTTGATCTTGTTCGTTCCCTTCGAGTCCAAGTTGAAAAATCTAAAGAGTTTGGAGAGCGAAATGACTGAATAAGCCGAATGCGAAAGCCAATCTTCGACTAGTTCTTTCAGCACTTGAAACGCGTTCGCGATTTGGGGAGATACTTTTGTTTCTGAAACAAATATTACAGATTGAAGTAAAAGCTTTTAACGGTATAAACGGTACGGGCCGTAGTTAAAAAATGCTTGTAAATAATATATGTGTTGTACAAGAAAAAATTGTATAAAAATTGCAGATTTTGAAATAAGTTTAACCAAAGTCTCAACCCTATACATAGCGCTTTAATCGGACTTTATAAAACGTTTTATTTAAAAAAGCTGACTGAAATGCATGAACAAAAACAACATAAAACCTACTTACTGGCACTTATATGCTTGCTCAAATCAAATAGAAACAAGAAGAAGTTGATTTGCAAGTAGAGATCTTTCTCCGTGTACTCTCTGAACATCAGACCCTTTTCGCATTGACGGCACAGCGGGTACCCGGCTTGGAAAGTTTGGGGTAAACGCGTAGTGCGCGCGCCGCACGCCGGGTCCTCGCACGACACCCAGCCGGCGTAGTACTCGCTGTGGTATTCTCTTATCTGCAAACATAATTGATTCTGCAGACTCGCCAAATACTCTATCGGCTTCGACTCGCACTTATCGTTCTGGCATTTCTCGAGAAACGTCGCGCTCTCCTTGTCGTTTCTCACGAACGTCTCTCGTATCTTGTTCAGCGCTTTGCAGCTCTCGTTCACGCACATAAACGTAAACTCCTTGCAATGCCGGTACTTCTCTTGTTCATTCTCGATTTCGTAAGTGTCGCCACTGGAATTCTCCTTCTTAATTTGTCGATAGCCAGACGGATCTAGACCCAGACATTCAGCGACTCTGGCCGGTTCCATGCCTTCGATGGGTTCACATATACGAGATATGACGGGATGGAGTTGGTGCGCGAGATAATATTTATGGTCGACTTTTAGGTGCTCGATATTCTTCAACTCTTCCACGTGGTAGGCTCTCTGAGTGGCAGAGTTCGCGGATCCGTCTTCGCAAATGATGTAGGGAACGATGTCGCCTTTCTTGAACCGACGGCTGCTCTTGCTGTTGAGTCGTAGCGCGACTAGGACGTGCGGTTGCGAGTGCTTGTCTGCGTATTCATTTGGATTCTTCGTTAATTGCTTCGTGATCGTCAACAGAGACAACGGTATCTGGTTTCCCAACAAGTCTTCTTTTAACTTATTCAAGTGGTTTTGGATACTTTCCAGTCTCTCGTCTGCACTCTGCTCGGACAATATTTGGCTCAGGATGAACTTGCCCGCTTCGGCGGCCAGCTGAGACCAATCGCGTCTAACTATGTCCAATCCTTTGTGCTCTTGACTGTACACTAATTCTCCGTTCTTGTTTCGACTAACAATGACCGCTGCGTACTTCTTCTTCTTCAGTAGCAACAAGTATTTGAATACACCGTCAATATCTAGCTCGATTTGTTTGTACTTTTTATTGATCTCCCTTTTCAGATCGTTTCCGATTTTGAAGACGTAATCGTAATCCAAGCAATTCGTGTTTATCATCAAACTGTCCGTATCTCCGTAGACGACGTCGTAGTTTAGCTTTTGAACGATTTCTTTGGTGTCCATAAGGATTTCCCTTCCCTTCATCGTGACTAGCGCCGCCAGCGGTTTCGCGTAGAATCTAGAATGCGTAAAGCCTAGACACCCGTACATGGAATTTGCCGTTAGTTTCAAGGCTGTCTGTCGGATATTGTATTGCATATATTGATCTGGAGGTAGATCCGGCACCTTCATCAGCTTCTTGACTTCCCGCCTACTTTCAACGAGCTTTCTGATCTGCGTCGGTAAGACGCCAAACTCAGTGTTCGGACCTGGCAGGACTAAATTATTTAAGTCGTCGTCTGAATTTGTAGTAATTCTCCTCTTGATAGTAGTGAAGCACACATTAAACTCTTGGATAATACTGGGGTACAGTGAATTAAAGTCCATGAGTAGAATAAGCTTATCATAGAATCCCTTTTTAGGATCTAGAACTAGACCACCACAATAAGCCGCTTTCTTTTTCCCCTGTTTCTTATTGGGTTTTTCGTCATCGTTTTCATCGTCGGCAATATTCTTCTTCCCATATACTTTATCGGGAACTATATAGTTCTTCTCTGTGAACGCGTGAAGCAAAAGAAACTCGTTTCTCTCCGACCGGCCCCCGAGTAGTGTCCTAGACATAATGTTGCCAGCGATTTGGGTTATTTGTAATGCTAGCGGTATCACGTTCAATTCGCACATTATTTTCAAAATGTACGAGCCGTCTTGCATGGTTAGAGTAACAAGTTTTAAGAGATCGTCGCTGCTTTCGTAGTACCGTGGTAAATCTTCTAGGGCGACCTCTATCCTCTCGCCTTCCTTCATTTTAAGAACATTAACGCATAAGGTATCTAGGTCAAAGCTTCGAGCCCTGATTAGTTCCATAGCAGATATCTTTATATCACAAACCAATCTCCCTAAGAAGGCATCCTTTGCTGCGAATTTTTTCTGCGGCGCCACAGTCCTATTCAGCCTGCCTAAGCGTGACCAATTAGGAATCTTTAAATCTAGAATATTGCCAATCAGTATGTCTTGTTGAAAACCTTGTAAATCATGTCCTATGACTAAGTCTGGGTCTAGCTTCCAGAACTGGACCATAAAACAGTTTAATAGCTCCCTCTCTGTATCACATTTTGTTAATTTTGTAGCTTTGTATGCGGGTAGTTTTTGTTTGAGATCGAGCGGCCATACATCAGTACATTTTGTCATCACTGAAAAGGAATAAAGACATTAGATTGCTTGCATTTTCATCTCATTTAATACATTAAAAAAATAGTAACGTACCACAAAAATGTTGTTGAAACGGCGGATTTGGAGCAGACTTGTGGATTGGAAAATTACTGTGTGACAGACAACTTAACATTAAAATCTTTGTTTTATTTGTTTTAGCATCTGTTACTGTCCGCATATTAATCTGAAAAAAAAAAAAATTATAAGTAAAAACAAAAGATTTACGAGAAAAGAATATTTTTATTTGGAATAATTTTTAATGCATTGATTACTTTTATGTGCATAAATTAGGACTTACGGTAGCGACAACCATGGGCGGCGGTTCTAAGTCGTCTCCACTTCTAATAACGTTAATATTGTCCATATTGTCACAACTGCCCTCCATTTTACAAAGCGACACTTTGGGTCCTGAACTATCAGGATCGGTAACCTCCAGCCAGCATGGACCTTTGATTTTCCGTTCAAGTAGAAGCATCTCTAAGGAAGATGTATTTGCTCCGAATATATGAGAAAAAGTAAGATACTGTTTGGTTGGTGGTGGTGGTAGAGATGCCTGGAACGAAAACAATTTTGTTACACCTATAAATAGGTATAATTCAAAAGCTATTATATTATAAAATATAATATTAGTTTTCAAGCTGTTCGGTTATTGATCTATATAAATTCACTGATATTATAATACATTGTTTACTATAACAATAAATATTTATAAACTTACAGAATATTTGACTTCAAGGTATTCGCACTGTGCTGGTACATTTGGTATATTGAAACAGTAATTCTTGCTGATTTTTCGTGACTTGAACTCCTTGATACCCAGTTCTGCTGCTACTGATGTATTAAATTCTTGATACATATCCATTATTGTAACTTCCTCATCAGTTGCCTCGAAAGTAACTGGGTCCAATTTCTAAAAAGTAAAAGTGTTGATGAAAAGAATATTCTGTTATCTACCACGCAATCTATTAAATGTGCTTGGCAGATGTGTATGAAATAAAGAACAAATTATGTTCTGGCTGAGCCTACAGACAATATTTTATAAAGTTTTATAGTCATTTGTTAAAAAAAAATTATGAATACTTACATGTTCTCTAGGCAGGAGGAACATTTGACGATTAATATTTTTCACAACCAAACAGCATGATACACAGCCTGCTTTTTTATTGGTGGGATTCACATAAACCTTCCCAAACAAGTATACAACACCAGGCTTAACAAATCTGTCCTCCCAAGCATCTATCCAATAGAATTTTAACACTTTCTGTCCGTCTTTGTTTGTCTGTAGAGATAGTTTTCCGTCCGATTGTATAGATACAAAATTATTATCACAAATTTGCTCATTCCATGATGTGTGTAATGGCTGTAATTTTTTAGGTGAAGACTTCTTTGCAGAAAAAATTTCAAAGTCATCATTAAGAAATTCCTCTGCAACATCTGTAATTGTGTTGGATGAGTTTGGAAGCTCCTCCTTTACTTTAGTTTGAGGTGTTGCATCATTACTAAAGTCATCACCCAAATCAAAGTCTTGTGATTGAAATTCTTCTATATTCTGTGAAGAGGAATCATCTAGTTCTTTTTTTATTTCTTTATCTATTTTCCAAGAGTTTTTTTTTGCAGATATATGACCATTTGTGTCTTCTTTTGTCACAGGTGTTTCCTAAAAAATATATTAAATGTCTATAATTGATTTGTTTCATTGAAAGTATTATATACTTAGATGCCTGTAATGGAAAAAGCTAATAAGCCCTTTTACTTACAATTTCCTTTTTAATGGGTGGGTCATCAAGAATAATAGATTTCTTAACAGAAGAGGCCATAGCTTTGAAATAATTTTGGGCATCTTTTTTGCTGGATTCAACTATGTTAGTCTTATGTACAACTTGAGGTTTTGGTTTAACCATTGCTGTACCACTACCATCCAGATCTGACATGATGTCAGATAATATATTGTCATCAGATATCTTCACATCCTGTAAGCAAGAAAGGGAGCCTGAATAAATTTATAGTTTTTTATATTAATAATAATACAAGGAGCACATACAAAGTCTGCAAGTAAAAAACAATAAAGAACTTATTGTATCCAACAACAACTTAAAGGTAGACACACCCGCATTCATTAATTACTTTACAGAATACATACAACTTTTGTTGTATTTGCCTAAATTTACCTCTTTCTTTTTAGCTGGCATTGCACCAAGGAGATTTCTTATATTCCCTTTTCCCGCTGTTGGAGCCACACGAGCTTTACGTTTCACTCCTCTTCCATTCTCCTTACTGGCAGACGCAACATATGAATCTTCAATCTCGTCATCGTCATCGAATATTTCTCGGCCATCCTCAACATAGCCAGTTCCATCTATTGTACAAGAGTTTGTATGAAAAAACTAATTATATATGGTTTGGATGGTGTAAATAATAGATAATAGTTTTACCATCTTCAATCCAATCTTCTTCTTGTCGCTGTAGCACCCTTTCGCTATATTCCCTCTCGTCCACAGTGTCATACACATTTTCAAGTTCATCAACATCGTATTTATGCTTGGATCCTTTTCCTTTTAGCTGTTTCAGTTTCTCGAAGGCCGACATACGTCCATGTTTATCAACTTTATGCCGCTTGGCCCTTTGCCCGGCTAGAAATTTAAAACTATCATGAAAAGCAATGAAAAGTTTGGATAGAAGTACAAAATAGGTTAAATTATTACCAATAGAGTCTTCCATTTGTGTTTAACTTATTGTTTTTTTACACATAATACATTTTATAAATACAAAAATAATAATATAGTTTTTACGCTTGATAACATAAAAGAAATATTTACAAATTACAAGTTTGTGACAATTAATAAATTGGCGCGAAACTGAATCAACACAATGCGAAATGTCAAACCACTGCTTAACTAACAGAGACAATTTGCATTTCGTATATCATCTGTAATTTGTTTTGCTTTGTAGTAGATTATTACCTATACTGTTATAAAAATTTCGCGCCAAAATAGTTGTCATTTGTGTTGTGATTTAGCGTGGTTTATGTTGTTACTTGTTCAACTTTAATGTTTTTTTTTGTACGTTCAGAGAGTTAATTTGTAAAGCAATTCAAAATGGCAATGCGAGATTACGCAGGAGATAAAGGTAAATAAAATACATACTTAAAAGAAAGAAAATAATGAGAAACTTATGGTTTACTATCTTTTTGTTGCAGAGTCATTTAAAAACTTCTTCATAGATTTTTGCCAAACTGACGAAGATGGAAATAAATATTTTAAATATTCTGAACAGCTAACCAAAGTTGCGCACAGGGAACAGGTAAGTGATAAATGTAGTTAGGCTTTTTGTCGCTTGCCAATGGTTTCTCATCAATAAGATCAATTTCCACAACCATCGCCTAACAGTCTAATCAGTGTTAGAAAATTTAATAAGAAAACTAAATTTATAGATTATAACCCAATCAAAAGTTACTAAAATATATTGTAATTTTCCTGTTGCAGCTAGCTTTTGTTGTAGATTTAGATGACTTATCTGAAAATAATGAAGAGCTATGTGAAGCTGTCCTTAAAAATACAAGGCGGTATACCAATATGGTGTCCGATGTTGTTTACGAAATGTTACCTGATTATAAGCACAGAGAGGTAATTTTAATAATACTGTTATAACATCTTTAGATATTAATAAAAATGTTTAATTTAGCAACATTGTTTAGAACAAAATCATATAAAATCACATATATCTATGTTGCAGGTTGAAGCTAAGGACGCGCTAGATGTATATATTGAGCATAGAATAATGTTAGAATCTAGAAACCATAGGATTCCAGGAGAAATGAGGGATCCAAGAAATAGATACCCACCGGAACTCATCAGACGATTGTATGTCTTCTATTTTCGATTATTTAAAAACACTTTGAATTTGAGTCACAATATTTGTAATACCAATGTTTTTTTACAGTGAAGTTTATTTCAAAGACTTGTCAACATCAAAATCGGTGCCTATTAGAGGAGTTAAGGCTGAACACATCGGTAAACTAGTGACTGTCAGAGGTTAGTAGATATTAACATTTCTCCTTAATTTAATTTTTTATTTATTTATGTAACACTACAATTGATGTAACAGCTACATAAATACCAATCTTCATACCTCAATATCATCTGGTTTGCTGTAAAAGATTTTTATTGCCTTTAACATCAAAACATCATAATATATTTATAATATGTAATGGTTATTCAATTGACCACATATATGAACACTTTCTTACAGGTATAGTAACTCGCTGCACAGATGTAAAGCCACTGTTGATTGTTGCTACATATTCATGCAGTGCGTGTGGTGCTGAGACATATCAACCGGTTCGCTCACTGCAGTTCACTCCGCCACCGGCTTGCACAGCTGATGAATGTCGTCTTAATAAAACAGCTGGGCAGTTACATTTGCAAACAAGGGGATCTAGGTTCCAGAAGTTTCAAGAGATCAAGATACAAGAGCATGTATGTATGGGCTTAAAAGGCTGTAGATAACTAATAAAGAGGTTCTGGGTTTTGCTGTACTAACAGTGTTTATCCTCGCTAAGAACCCTCTTTTTCATAGGAATTTGAGCTCAATGTTAGTATTATATATGGCTTACAATCAAACAGATCCTTGGTTTGGTTTGCTAGGAATGACACATTTCTAAAAGCAATTGACAATTTTCGGAAACATCTTTGCCTCCATGTGAAGAATGTGGATATTAAAAGTTTGGTAAAAATATTGTAATTCTGTTTACTGGTCAGCTCTGAATGTCTAAACCCAAATTCGTTGATGACCTTAGTTGGCCTTGTCGCTTGTTTAGATATCATATAATCAATAATAAGTGAACAAAGTGTTTGTCTGTCCTCATCTATTATAATAATCTCTTCTATCGTTTCCAGTCAGATCAAGTGCCAGTTGGTCACATCCCACGTCAGCTATCAGTGTACTGCCGGGGCGAAACGACGCGCCGTGCCCAGCCTGGAGACCACGTCGCTATTACAGGCATTTTCCTGCCCCTGCTCAACTCTGGCTTTCGGCAAATGGTCCAGGGATTGTTGTCAGACACTTATTTAGAAGCTCATGTATGTGTATTTTACTTTTATTTGGATTATGTACTATAGCTGCCTCTTTTTACCCCTTTTAAACCTCTATAGAGGATAAATATCCTATATTATATCCTGCCCTTATATAGATTAAGGTACAAATGTTTAGAAACTCATTTTACATATTACTTTTTAAGTATATATCTACATCAAATTAATATTTTTATTATCTGAATGTAATAAATAATAATATATTAATTCTTTGCTTAAGGGAGTCACATGCTTAAACCAAAGTGATGAGAGTGAGTCGCCAGAAGCTCTGACTGAAGAGGAACTAGCCGAGTTGGCAGTAGATGACTTGTATACGCTCATGGCCCGGAGTCTGGCTCCTGAAATCTACGGCCATGAGGATGTTAAAAAGGCTCTCCTTTTGCTGCTTGTGGGTGGAGTTGATAGGTTAGATAGATGATGACTTTTCTTACAAATAATATCGATCAATATGGAATCATATTTTGTCAGTGTGTTGTTGGTCTAATGGTAGCAATGTATGGCTATTGCTAACACGTTTCTAATTAATTCAGACGTCGTCCGTAAACGTGTCTATTCACCAACCTGTCTGTAAATAAAACTACTATTAAGCTGTATATTTCTTTGCTGCGCAGGCGACCAAACGGTATGAAGATCCGTGGGAACATTAACATCTGCTTGATGGGAGACCCAGGGGTCGCTAAGTCTCAGTTGCTCAACTACATAGACCGGCTCGCCCCACGCTCCCAGTATACCACCGGCCGTGGGTCTTCAGGAGTTGGTCTCACAGCTGCGGTGTTGAAGGTATGAGTGTTGTCACAGTGAATAAGAGAAATGACTAAAACACTTAACGGTTTAGAACGCGAAATATATTTTTTTTTAATCTTTAGGCTTGGTAGTAGTACTTTGATAGTTAAAAATAGTGAACTTTTTTATTTTACTGTCCAGAAATAAGAATGGCTGCTACTGAGGTCAAATTACAGTGTACATGTTTTTTGATATAATAAAAAAAAAAAAATGTATTCAGGATCCCTTCACCGGTGAAATGATGCTCGAGGGTGGCGCACTGGTCCTGGCTGATCAAGGAGTGTGCTGCATCGACGAGTTCGACAAGATGGCCGAGACGGACCGGACTGCTATACACGAGGTCATGGAACAGCAGACCATCAGTATTGCTAAGGTTCTTGTCTTTACTTATTATTTTTATTATTACACAAAAAGTGATTTTTTTTCACGGATTCCCAAAGATTTTAAAGATTAGGCTTAAGACGTTCAGAAAGTTACAGACTTGAAAAAGCTGTGAAGTTTAATAGCGTTTTAATTGTAGTCTGTGAATTTTCGAATATTTCAAGCCCAAATCGATAAAGTCGCGTATAAAGTTTAGATGTTATATGGTTGTAGTATATCGCTATCTATATCCATATATATTTTTTTATTTATTTATCATATCAACATAACAAATACATTTATTTATATATTGATAGCAATAAAAAACCACTAAGGTTTAAACTGATGCCATCGTGAGTTTACATAACATCTAATTAACTAAGTTTATTTAATAAATATACAAGATAACTAGCAAGCTACCATCTTGTCTAAGCATGCATTAAGAGAAAAAAAACAATAACGCTAAAATTACTTAAGAAATATATACTCGTAGTTTTAATATTATCTTAATCTAATATTATAATCTTACTATATATTCACAGTCAAGTGACACCTGACAATTTTGAACGTCTGTCCATGAAATGTTCCTGAATTAAAAAAGACAATTTGTTCCAGGCCGGCATTATGACCTGTCTTAACGCCCGTGTATCAATTCTGGCGGCCGCCAACCCGGCGTACGGTCGTTATAACCCGAAGCGAACAATCGAGCAGAACATACAACTGCCCGCGGCTTTGCTCTCTCGGTTTGATCTCCTCTGGCTTATACAGGACAAGCCTAATAGGTACAGTGGTTATGTAAGAAAATGTGTAGAGGGGGATTATCCAGAAAATAATGTGAATGGCTTAAAGACATTAATACTTTTTACACGTCATTGCACATTAAAAAAGTTTTTTTTTTTCAATCTAAATAAATTATTAATTTATACAACGCCTGCGATTCGTGTGCAATATTTGAAGTATATTAATGACATTAAACTCTGTAATTTCATCCTCAACATCTACGTAATAAGGTTGAAATTAAATTGCGTGAGAGACACTGTAGCTCAGATCACTGTAGGTTGAAGCAACAGCATGGAACGCTGTGGATGTCGGTTCAAGTCCCGCCTGTATCGTATAATTGAAACGACAACACAATAGATAGTTATGATAGGGTTATCAAGAATAAAAAAAGAAAAACAGGTTTATTAGATACTCTTATGTGGAAACTACCAGTTGTCGATCTTTTTAAACTACCTTCAATTTATAAAACTGTGAGACGTAACAATTATTAACATTTGTGAATATGGACCAGGGACAAGGATTTGGAACTAGCGAAGCACATAGCGTACGTGCACCAGCACTCGTCTCAGCCGCCGAGCGAGGTGCGCGCTCTGTCCATGCGACTCGTGCGCAGGTACATCGCGCTCACTAAGAGGACGCACCCGGCCGTGCCCACCAACCTCACCGACTACATAGTCTGTGAGTATACACGGTTGTAGAACCAACGGGTCGTGGGTTCAATTTCGCTTGGCTTAAGCATTTTCCGCACGTTTTTTAAATCAGTTTTGAATTTTCCTCGACATCTGGCACCTCTGTCAACATAGCAATCTGGATATTAATCAGGTGGTCGAAAGTAATCATTCTCTCTCTCACTCTTTATTTCTCTTTATACGTAAGCAATCCTTAATAGTATGAATAACTAGCAATAAATAATTTATTAAATTAACAAGCAAATCCAAGTGCACTTGGTGAGAATAATATAAGAATATCTTGAATACAATTAGTATTATTATTATTACTTAATTAAATTCTAGCCCAAAATAATTCTACCCTTGCCTTTTCTAGTTTTATTTTACAAACATATCAATACGTAAAAAAAGACTTGCCTTGTGGGTAGCAAACAATCGTTTATAGCCAAAAGGTCGTCGGTTAGAATTCAACATAGAGCCACAATTCGTCTGTTTCCGGATATCCACAGCCAAACTAACGATAGCGTAAAACACTGATTTTTTTCAGCCTCGTACGTGGAACTGCGCCGAGAAGCGCGCAACAGTCGTGACGTCACATTCACCTCGGCCCGAAATCTGCTCGCCATACTTCGACTCTCTACAGCCTTAGCGAGGCTAAGGTAATTCGATAAATCATAAATTATGTCTCTTTCACTAATAAATCTCATTACCGGATTTTTGTATAATGTCTGAACTAAATTGTTGTTTCCGTATTTGAACCCAGGACCTCGTGTCCTTAACCCCAGGGAGCAATCTTAATGTTCTCATAGATGTCTTAATTTGGCGTGATTTATTAGACTTTTAATAAAATAATTTGAACGATTTAAAACACAAAATATATTAGTAAACAATCCAACTTTGCCGATGCTTCGCAGCATCCGTGGTCACGGCTACTAATATAAATGTTTTAAACCGTTAAACGTCACTTTTCGCGTAAACTTCAGTTTATTGTCGTTTGAAGAAGTATTCTAATTAAGTAAACGAATGCAGTTGATTTGCTGCTTGTACCAAGGTAAATATGGTGGTGTTTGATGAACCAATGTCGTAGGTTATGTAACGAGGTGATGAAGGAGGACGTCGCGGAAGCCATCCGGCTCGTGGACATGTCCAAGCAGTCCTTGCAGCACGTCGAAGACAATGTACAGAGGTAATGTATATCTTTGTTCGAGTCTGATCATAAAGTTTCAACTTAAAGTAGTAAAAGCAATGCAGGTTATATTATCCGTGCCGTTTCCGATTGTGATAATATATTGTGTTCTCGCGATTTGAACACACTCTTAACGCTTGGTAGGTTCCTTGGTACTTAACATCATTAATCTATGGATTCGATGGATAACACATAACTAACATTTATAAAATCTTATTGTTTGTTTATACTTTATATTATATCCTTTATATATTGTTACGTGGCATATAGGGGTGTCAGCGCGACCGACCGCATCTTCGCCGTGGTGCGTGAGCTAGCCGGCTCCAGCAGTACCGTGAAGATCGCTGACGTCATCGAGCGATGCATAGACAAGGGCTTCAAACCAGACCAAGTAAGTCATGTCCACAAATGGCAGTCGAATACAAACATCAGTGTATATCTTGTATATTTAACGTAAACATATTGTTACTACATTTCTGATGCGCGTACGCAAGTCATTAATATAGTAAAGTTTTTGCAATCAATTGGATCCCGAAATACTCCAGTCATACGAGTATACTATCTAAATAAGTTGCGGTGCCGACCTATTTTGGTAATTCGGAAATCCACAGACTGAAAGCGGTATTAATTCGCCATACATTGCTACCATTAGAGCAAAGAGCCCCGGAAGATTATATTGTTCCTTCTTGTGTATTTACTATGAAGGTTAACACAATATTATTTCCAGGTGGACGCGTGTATCGAAGAGTACGAGAACCTGAATGTCTGGCAAGTGAACCAAGTGCGGACCAAAATCACATTCATGTGACACATCCTCGATTATTGTCTCGCTTATGTTGTGTGCCTTATGAATAAATACTTTTTATAATCGACTTTTTCACTTGGACAATTACTCCATATGAATTCCCTCGGTTTAGTGGTGCATCCCACTGCAGATAACGGGATAACGAGGACTCAGGTTCGAATTTTGTTCGGGCAAACGTTACTGTATTTCAAAGAAAATTTCAAACATATACTAGCACGGTCTAAAGCCTAGGAGTGCAATAAGCCGTCGGTCCTGTTTATCATAACTAATTTATTGGTCTTTGTTAACGCGTAACTGAAGCGTGGCGATGTAAGCTCTTGAAATCCCCTCCTAAGCGAGAACAGACCTGTGCCCAGCTGTGTAACATAAAAGATTAAAACTAGATACTTATGATACCTTGTATATCCTTACTAATATTAGAAATACGAAAGTAACTCTGTCTGTCTGTTACTCTTTTAAGCCAAAACTACTGAACGGATTTGAATGAAATTTGGTACACATATGGTCTAGACCCTGAGAAAGGACTAATAATAGGCTTTTTATTACGAAAAGGGGGGGTGAAAGTTTGTATGGAAATTCGTGGTTTCTGAAGCTAGAACAATGAAACTTTCTTAGGCTTTTTGGGAATAGGAGTGAGAGTGGGAGTTGGATTAAGAGTGATGTGAGGTGAGAGTGTTGCGGCAAAGTAGCACTTACAACATAGATTTCCTGCGATAAATGCGCAATAACATACATTAATAAATAATTAAAAATTCTACCCCAAGTCACTATTCCACGCGAACGAAGTCGCGGCCACATCTAGTATATAATATGTTCAAAACAATCTAGTATACATAAAAACAGTTGCAGTGAAAAGGTAAAGTTCTGAAAATTTTGTGTGTGATCCTGCGCATAATTTTAATTATTCTGAAAGAAAACTAATTAAGCAACTTATATTTTTCCCGTTTCAAACTGTTAAAGAGGTTCCATTTAAATGTTCTAGTCGCGTAAAGTATTGACTATACTTAATAATAATCTTATTTATTTAGAGATGGACATTTTAAAAATATAATATATATATTTATCTACATAAGGATGACCTCTGTGACCCAATGGTAAATGATTCTGGGGAAATATAATATACAGTTTCGGTCGTGCAGGGCACAGATGTTTGACTTTGCCTTCAAAAATGAACAGTGAAACGGAGGCAAAAAATGTATTCGCTCCACGCCCTAAAAGGGGAGACGGATTTAATTCTATGCCCCACGTGCCCCAAAAAAGAGAATAAGCTCTGACAAAATGGTAGAGTCAATTAGTGAGCGAGTATAAATAAATTAAAACGCCCGGCGTTGAAGTTTTCGTGCCGGTCGTGAAACGGGTCACGAGCCTCGACCGAATTTTACATTTCAAATGTGTGACGATTTCAACAAACTGAAATAGTGTTTATATATTTTGGTAACCTATTGCATAAGTCTCAATGGAACAGACAAACCTATGTACATATCTGTTGTCTAATCGATTTTATTTTACAGAAGTAGTTGATTTGTCCAATACGACTTAAAGAAATTTTAAGATTCGAACTAGTTCAGTTCAGTTGGTTAAATATAATTTTGTGCCATTATTAAAGAAATTTATTTCTTTGTTCATATTTTCTCTTTGGCAACCGGAAAATTTGAAATTTGTTTTCCGCTTAATAATACGCATTTTGTCATTTGCTAGGTACATAAAGTTTTAAAGCTTTACGCAAAACGTACGTTTTTCTATTAGTATAGTAAAAAAAAAACTATTTGATTATTTTTTGTTTAAAACAATGAAATTAGTAAAAAATCCGTCGGTTAGAGCAACAGAACAGGCTGTGGATGTTGTTTAATCCAACCGGTGTCTTAAGGGAAAAAATTAATATTCGATTATAGATTTATTAGGTTAAATTTCCACGCGCAAAATATCAAAGTTTTCAAAGGAAATCATGTTTCCTCTTTGAAACACGCAACCGTGTAAACTACTCCTTATGAAGATATCACACGTCTGGCTTATGAAAACATCGTGTCTAAGCTCCGCCCCCTCCCTTCCCCCTCAGCTGAAATTGAAAAAGTTCAAAGGTTGGAGTTAGAGGCAGGCGGCAGTCTTAATAAACACAAATTGTGGCTTCCGCATTAATAGGGGACCCTGGGCGTTGTACGAGAATTGTTTTTATCCCGAAACTGAAATATATACTAGGAAATTGAACTAGCTTTACCTGCAAAGATGTATGAAGATTAATAAGATGTAAAAAACTTGTACGTGCTGCGTGCCCATTTCGGGATTCTCTCGGCGCGGAGTGTTCCTTGATAATGTCAATAATGTAGGACATTTTCTCTCGCGGATGTTCATGGGTGGCAATTATTCATACACGAACCGTAATGTATGCGAAGGGACAACCCCTCTTCAATAAACTCGTGCTCACAAGTACTCTCGCTGTTTAGCGGAAACAACCTTTTTATTAAAACTCGTTCCACGTAATAAGCTTTTTATTTATCCATTTTGTTAATAAAATTCAAGTTTTCGAAATGTAATTCTGAATAAGCGATTTTGAGAAAGTCCGATATCGGCTTTGTGTTGGAACATTAAGGGCTTTGAAATTTATTGTAATTTATATGCGTTGTCATATTAAACTAACAATTTTAACGGTTTAAAACGCGATATAGTTGTAGCCTCGACGCGCGGGGTAAACGTGGTTAAAAATAACTTCTTAATTTAAATAAAACACTTTAATGGTTTAAAACGCGATATAATTGTAGCCTCGACGCGAGGGGTAAATGTGGTTAAAAATAACTTCTTAATTAAAAAAAAAAACTTTGACGGTTTAAAACGAGATATATTAGTTAAACTTATTTGAAAATTATTTTTAACTTCGGCCCGACGTTTCGGATTCTTTGCAGCAGCCGTGGTCACGGTTAAAGTGTTTTATTTAACTGTGTACTACTCGCGTAAACTATAGACAGTATTTAATAACTTCTTAAATATATTTATAATTTTAAACCTTTATAGTATAATATTTACACTTTGACTTTGAAATTGAAATACAAAAATTAGACGTTGAAATCATGCGAATGGTTAGGTTGTGTAGTGTTTCAGTTTTTAACTCGTTCTAGGATTACAGGCGCGGCACATTCCTTGCAACAAACTGGTTACAACGACTCGATTCCATTAATTTTAAGATTTTGTCGTTTTATTTTTGTCCCTTCTCTTTTTCCGTCAAAGAAGAAATACAGTTCTGAATCCCCAAATCTATTTTGTATTTGGGCATTCGGAACTAAAGCAAGTAGTTTTATCAAATATCTGAGGGGCACAGACATCGAAAGAATTTATTGGTTCCACTGTTTCATGAGATTCGAACCCAGGATCTCTTTTTAACCCGTTAAATTGTAGCCAATGATTTATGGTGGCGGTAAACGTAAGGATAAAATTCAGCATTTCTTCTACAATAGATGCGTGAATAAAACCATAATATAATTTATCTCCGATGAGCACGAATTTCTCATATAACATATCCTATAAATCTCATTATTCATCGAACACGTCAGACAAAAATATAATTCCTTCCCTCACAGCTTCGAGTTTTGGCAATGATTAATGTTGGATGGGCGAACTTTTCCTGGGCCCGCACCCTACCTGCCCAACTTTCCATTTCACCAAACTTACTTTTGAATCCGGCTTCGTTAGAATATTTGTACGGTTGTATGCCATTGTCTAACGACAGTACAATGTACAGGTGGCCTCGCGCGATCTTAATTGTAAGGTTACTTCTGTTGCTAGGGTAATTTTTAAATGTCTTGTAGTTTACACGAGTAGTACACATTTAAATAAACACTTTAACGGCTTAAAACGTTAAATTATTAGTTAACCTATAAACTATTGCGAACTAACGGTCTGGTGATGTTTTAACGCCAACTTTATTTGTAAGATAGAGAAGGACAGACAAACATGGGATTGTCACATAATAATATGCCATCTATAATAGATATTGTTTAGAAACAGGATCTGCTGTGGATCTTTTTTGCCTATAGATGTCTGGAAATGTACAGACTAAACCCGAAACGCGCTTCGGTTTTGGTCGAAGATGTAGTATGTTACGATTTCTCCTCTTCTGTCTATGATTTTCCTACCATTCATTAGTTTCCGGGTATTCCAGACGAAGTTTTATATAAACCAAAAAGAGTTAAGTTGAAAATTAGATAACCAAGCTGGTATTCATTTATTACAAAATCCGTTCATTGTTTTTTTGAGTCTTACATTTTCTTTTTTTTTAACAACTTATTGCCTCCTAAATATTTATAAAGGTATATTTAAATCGCTTTAATAAAAAAAATAGTGTAATCTTTAATTAATATGTAAATTAAATCATCTATACCGTGATCTATATATCAATTTCGGAGGCAGTGCCTATCGGGATAACTTTGTCGCTGCCCTTGTACGTTACAAAAGGTCCGAAAACATCGATTACATTAAAAGAAATAAGGATTCTATTATTAGGAGTGAGAATTTAATATCGCTTGGGAGAAATTCTCCTTCTCATGTTCTCTGATAGAACACGAAGCAGGTTCTCTCGCCCCGGCTACCGCGCCGGCGCTTGCGCATCGCATTCCTCGCGAGTTAGTCACACGGCGGTTTGGAAGGAAGATCGTATCGGCAGGGCTGCCCGGATAATTACCGACATGACGTTCCACTGATTTGTGAACACCTTCCATGAAATTGTCTCATTCTTCGTTTGTGACGTCTTGATAGCGTCGTCTAGATCAATTTCATTGACTGATTAATACGCGTAGAGTCTTTGCTTTTACAACAGCAATTGTAGGAAATAATATTTTTAATAACTATACAATATGTAAAAAAGAAGTATCACTCAAACAAGCCAAGATGTAAATGATATGGATGCAATTTCGAAATCAAGATACTAATAAAAGTAGAATTTCGCGAGTAGTACTATTAAAAATCATTTTTAACGGATCAAAACGGAAAGTGTATGATTAAACTCACGGCTGCTGCAAATCATCCGAAACGTCGGGCCGTACTGAAAACTTTCGTTTCTAATTGTTTTATTTAAATTTAGAATTTATTTTTAAAATATTTTTATTAATTTTATTTTCATTTAGTTATTGATTTTTTTCGTTCGGCCATATGGGTGCAAATCTATGGACGATCGGACTTGTTTATAAAATAGATCTTCAATGAGATACGATTTATTTTACAGCGGTATTCGAATGCGGTGCTTCAAAGCGCCGCCGGCGGCGGTTTTCGCGCTTCGTCCACCATTCAGGTACTGCCACAGATAAGCCTCGCTGTATAAAGCTCCTTTCATACTATTCATTCATATTCAGTTTGAATACAAAGGTAGGTAGTTAGGGATTTAAAACGTCAACGAACTATATATATTCAACAAACAATTAAGTATCACGGTGTAAGCTTTTATAAACAACAAAAATAACGGTTTAAAACGACGCCTACGACGATATTAAAATTATATTGCGTGTTTTAAACTGTCATTTTTTTAAAGTACTTGTAAAAACTTTTATTTACAATTTCCTTTGTGTGTTCTTTTTTCGATTTCATTAAACGAATCTTATATACTCATTTAGGAAGATTTAAATTTCGCCATTGAGTTAGAAGCCCGGTCGATTAAAATAAAATAAAAAAGCCGACGTATCTACAATTTTTCAATAGACAATTACTAATTTTAATACTATTTCTACAAACAAATTTTCACGTGCAGGTTTTATCCTTACACATATTATAATGTATTAGTGGAAATAAAACAAACACAAGAGCTGTTGAAAATGTAAACCCGACTGTGAGTGTGTATTTGAGCATAATTTTCGCAATTTGTATAATTCAAAAGCCTCGTATCTCTTTATTAGTATTTGAAATGTTACAAGTGCACGATGTTTTATTAATGAGAAGCTACGAACGAGGTTTTTTTCGTACGACCAAACCAAAACTATCAATATTCATTTTTTTATTTAAACATACATTCTAAGTCATATTCTACTAGTTTATAATTTATGTATAAGGCCGTTAGAGCCAGAGTAGCCTAACTACGATGTAATGACTTGATCTATTTATATTTTTATAGTCTAAGTGACCGAAAATTTTCAACATAATTCTTAGACAAATAATAGTACAAATTCATTTCCGCCTAAGTTAATTGCGCATTTTTGCTTTTCTTTTTATTGAAAATCAAGTGTTTGTTATTAGGCCACTCTGGTTCTAGCAGGTTCTATATTTGTCTTTACAACATTTCTCATAAAGTATATTTTAAAGTACTGTACTGAGTTTACGCGAGTAGTACACATTTAAATAAAACACTTTATCGGTTTAAAACGCGATATATTAGTTAAACTTATTTGAAAATGATTTTTAACTTCGGCCCGACGTTTTTCCCCGTGACCAAAGCAATAAAGCATCCGAAACGTCGGGCCGAAGTTAAAAATAATTTTCAAATAAGTTTAACTAATATATCGCGTTTTAAACTGTTAAAGTGTTTTATTTAAATGTGTACTACTCGCGTAAACTATAGACAGTATTTAAAACACTTTTAACGGTTTAAAACGTTCGAAGGACGTTTCATACGAAATATCGTTCTTTAATACAATTTGTACTACAACACCCCATTTCGAACACTTTGCAGCTATTGTGGTGTCGGATGGAAGTAGTTTAAAAAAATAAGAAAAATATAGTTTGTTTAAAACCGTTAAAAATGATTTATTTAAAATTATATTTTCTTAACACCACACGGTGTTAAACTATCTAAAAATGCAATTGATGCGAATTATATTTTTGAACGGTATATGCGAATGAAATATTGGACAAACATATTTCCGTCTCTGTTCAAATTTATTGTGTGTAACTAGGCTTCAAACCGTATCCCCATAAAATGCTATATTTATGATGGCATGCTGTAAAATTTGTCGGTCTAATGATCGAGTGATCTCGAGTAAGGAATTTTATCAAGTATGAACAAGACATTATAAATTAGAACGATACCTCGAGACGGCAACTTACAAGCTTTGTTAGGGTGGGAACACGACCGTACCGCGTCACTATATTTTAACTGTTTACTCTTAAATTTTATCTTTGATGAAAGATGTAGTACCATCGTTTTACCAAATTTAATATCTAATTGAAATGACAATGAAAATATTAATATTTTTATGATAGAGAATTTGTATCTAAATAAATCTCTTTTAACGTTTTTAAACGCGAAATATATTAATTGAATTATTTACATTTTTTAACTAAGGCCCGATATTTCGGATGCTATGCGGATGAGTATCCCCCATGACCACGACTGTTGCATACATTCCGCGTTTTAAACCTGTTAACGTATTTTATTTAAATATGTACTACTCGCGTAAACTACAGACAATACATTCATCTGGACATCCATAGACCGTTGACGTATACTTCAGGTCATCTGTGGATAGTCAATCAACAAACGCGCCACCTACAGTTGTAAAAACCATTAAAAATCGCCTTTTTCATGGGTTTTTATTAATTACACAGCCAATTGTGTAAAATTAGCCGACTGAGCAAATGATGACGCTGCACTACCTCGTAGATCGTTAATATGACGCGTATTTAAGCTGTAAATTAAAAAAACGCCCGTTGTATCATATCCTTATAGACTAAGAGATACGATGCCTTTATTAAACTTTTTATTTCATTAAAGATATATTAATAATAATCTTACTAGTCCAGTCAAGAGTTAGAACATCTATAGGAAGTGTTACTTTAAAAACGTTTATTTTTAATCCCCAAAACGTATAAGGGACTATTTAAGCCTTATAACAATAAGGCAGGTACTTAGCTCATTCTTTCGTTCGCGCTCTTAGAGTATATTTTATTTGTGAAGAATTTTTATTATATTGGGCTTTGTGCTCGGATGTTTTTGTGTTGTTTTTTACTTTGCGTAAACTTACTTGTTTCGACAAGACAAGACACGCCTAGAGTTTTGGAAATACGGGAGAAACTGTGAAAATTGATATAACATTTATTGACTAAGTAAGTTAGTTCTACCTATTTTTTTTAATTGATTCAAGTAAACTTTGAATATATAAGATTATAAGTTAGTACGCGAGAGACGCTTGTTATTGGTTGAAAAAAGTTGACGATAACGTGTGGCACACGGTAGCTCAATTGATCAGAATAGCAGCACTTTACTTAGGAATACTGTGAATGCCAGTTCAAGTACCGTTTCGTTTTTTTTTATAATCTAAATATATATTTAGTACGACCAATGTTACCCTGTGTTTCATACATAAATAATAATATTATTAAACTTTAGTCATGCAGAAGGGATTTCGCCAAATTGTGCATTAAGGTTGAACAAAAAAGATTTTGAATAAAGTTCCAAAGCTATGCGTAAGCGCATCACACAAAAGACTTAAACGCGCGCAACTGTGTCCCACGCCAGGGGCCTTCTTCACAATTCACACAATTTCCTGTCATTTGTAACCAATGACTGGCAGGAAAAGGTCGAGTATATAGTTCGAGATATAGTTCCTATAAAGCCTATGTTTCATGCATATAAAGACTAAATGTATATTGTTTTAGGAATATCATATAATAAACCAATTATTTTCCCACAGCTGGGCTCTTACATAGAATAGGATCTTAACAGCTTAGACGCTCTAGTGTAGCGGGGCTGACAGCTTGTAGTCTCCAAGACACGGAGGACCTACTAGTACTGTTTATAGTTTACGCGAGTGTACACATTTAAATAAAACACTTTGATGGTTTAAACGCGATATATTAGTGAAACTTATTTTTAACTTCGGCCCGACGTTTCTGATGTTTTGCAGCAGCCGTGGTCACGGGGAGACTGTCAGTCTATGTATAAGTTTAACTAATATATAGCGGTTTCGACCGTTAAAGTGTTTTATTTAAATGGATCTACTTGTTTCAAATTCCGGGACAGTATTCATTTTTAAATAATAATAACACCGAAGTAACATTTCGCCCCACTCTGGGATCAAACCTGAAAGAACACTGTGGTCTACAGTAAGGTGCACTAAATCAAAACGTAGTGCAAAGAATAATATTAATTATTAAGCTTATATTTTTTACAATGTTTCAGTTGTTAGTTGTAATAATTCAGTCGTTCACAAAGACTTTAGATGTTGTCATATTTACTATCAGCTTGTGCCGCCAAAGGTGTTTTATGCTATACGTATAATAAAAAGACATGGCGCCTTCCGTTAGACTACTCCGAAGTCGAAAGGATCAGCGCGAAATATTTGTCAATAATAAATGAGACGTCCGCTTTATTACCACATTCATAGTCGGTGTGCAGTTTGAATAGTACCTGTGGCGTATGGGCCAAGTCACAAACGACAGCCTTTATTTGTAAATTAAATGTTTTTATTAACAGAATAATATCCCTTACCCAAAAATATAAGCAGTGCTTTGGACTTATAGAAAACAACACTCTAAAAGCGGTTCAATTTCAGAAATGTTCTGTGGACAGTGGTTTGGGATACAATATCCAATTATTGTCCCATTTATTGAATGTTGTGGTCTCTCTCGTTCTCTCGTATTTATGCAAACGAGTTTGATGGTGTAGACTATAGGGTTATAATATTATTAGTAAAAAGTAGTATACTTATAAATAGTATATATATTATTTCTAAATTTAGAATTATAATTTGATTGTCTTGTGTTTCCTAGCTGGGTAAAATGGACCACTACCAAG